ATCTAGAATTACTGCAGGAGATAGGTATCATCCAAGAAGCAGAAGAAACAGCACTTTGTTCATGTTTTACACATCAAACACTCAAAACCAATAATAAATTTGACTTTCATGATTTTTTTTTGAAAGAAGACTCTACTCAAGTATGTAGAGAACAAGATAAGCAAAACCTTCCTTGTCCACAAGGGGCGCCAAAATCATCACAAACTCAAAGTTCCTCACAGGAACTTCAAGTACAGCATTAATAATTCATTTCCATTTTTCACTTGGATACAAACTTAAAACTTTGACAAATCATTTTGATTTGATTCATATTTTGTAGATTTAAAAATGATTTACTCATAAATTTAAAATTCATGTTAACAGTTGGTTAGTAGCTAGGGCTTCCATAACAACAGATTATTCTCTACCAGTTTTTCAGGTTTTGTAATATCTGTTAGTAGCAGTTTATGAGACTGAAAAACTGATTTTTTGGACTTGACATACACTGATAAAATAAATAGAAAGAAAAAAAAGGATTTGGACCATTACAAACTGCTAAACCTAGCTTTAACTAGACACCTTTAGAAAAAAACAAAATCATATCAGAATTGTTTAATACTGTATGAAAGAGTCAACAGTTCATCAATTACACTGACCAATCAGATTGTGTTGAGAACAGGATTTAAGGTGGAACAAAGAAAGGGGAAAAAAAAACAGATTAAAAGGGAAAGACACATTGGCACAAGTTTCAAGAAAATTAAAAAAAAAGACATTCATTGATAATTGGTCTACCCTGTTACAATTTGTCACTTTACATTGTTTCCTGAGGTCTTAAAGTCTTAACATTTTCAGGTATTTACATGTCTTTGGGCTCATCTAGCTTTAACTCTGACAGAGCTCATGTCATGTAGCAGTCTGTGGCTGTTTTGTGTCTGTTTTCTTAAATTTAATTGATGTCTCTTTCATTCCGCCTCTTATATATTTGAACATCCCTCACTGTTTCAGCTTTTCTTTCATCTTCTTTTCTTTGCTGTTGACGGCCCAGCAATTAAACACAAATCAACAGTGTTGTGCTCTCCAAATTAATCAAAAGCAATAATACTATTACCCCCTTTTTACTGACCAGTTTACAATGCAAGTGGAAATATTTTTTGCCACAGTGGCAAGAGGTTCAGGTAAAATGTGTGAAACCCTTTTGCACATATTCCACACTTTTCATATAAATCAGATGTATGCTATCTCTCTTGGGCTTATGGTGATATCTAACACTCAACAAAGTGAACTTCCTTTAATGCATCTGCTGTGCAGACTGTGTGAGATTTCAGACACACGAACATGCCTTACTTTTTTTTTTTTGTTCAAAAGTCCAGATTAAGTCAAATTTATGCACATAATTTATAAAGAAATTGAGAAAATACTGAAACAGTTTAAAAAAAAAATAAACAGGAAAAAAGATGTGAGTTTTCATGATATTTTTTATGAAATAAACATAAAGAGGCACTGAATACCAACAAAAGACATATTCTGAAAAAAATAAAATATATTTAGATGTATTAACAAGGAAAAATGACAGAAACATGAACTCTTCAAAGGATAATAACAGACAAATAACAGGTGAAATCTAAAAGGCTCAAATGTTAAAATCCACATACTGTGAAAATAGTCATCAGAACATTAGAGAATTGAAATACAGTCCTGTAAAGTTGCGGTGTAACATCAGTAACTCCTAAATATGTTAACTATTGTGATAAATTCAAGTAGCTGCCAGAGCAGTCCTCTTTCACATGAGCTTTCAAACTGAATGTGAAGGTGATCCTGGGCTGGCACTTGAGTTTAGAGAGAGCTGTGTTTTACAGTGTGAATGCAGCTAAAAATGGCAGAAAGTGGAGGAGTGAAGGTGTGAAAATATCTCCCAACATATAGACAACGAGGGGGAGGGAACAATATGGTCTTAAGTTTAAGTAACACCAGAACTAACACCGCAGTTAAAGAGAAGCTAACACTATTTTTTGCCCTCATAGCTTTTGTTGATTTCTCAGGATTAGAGCGAAAGGTTCCTTTAATAGCAGTGCGTTTGTTTCTTTTACTTCTAATCCAGTTTCACTTTCTGTTGTGGCATAGCTGCTTTTTCACATCCCTACAGGATGGAGGAGAGGAGCTTTTCATAATTGGAAGGATCCCTCTTAACAAGCTGGGTGTTAATTTTTCTTTTTCCCACTTTTAAGTTCCTCCACACGTTCACCTTGCCATCTTTTCACCCACCTCCCAATAAGGGAGTGCTAATGTGTTAAATGCGAACAACAAAGATAGGATGTCTTGCCATTTTCTGCTTCCCCACTGTTTCCCACATTGCTTTAGCGGCTAAATTAGACCGAGCCAAACGCAGAAATTAGAGCGGCGAGGCCAGATGTGATATTTGTTTTTCACACTGCGGCGGCAGGTAGATGTTAAAAAAAATGAAAGGAAAATCAAAACGGCTCCCTCATTGGATTTGCGACTCATTTTGATTCGCTGATGGTGGCCAGCTAATCATATGATCCTGTTAGAAGAAGTGAAGTGTTTGTGTGTTTGAGTGGGATTCTGCCGGGAAAGTTAACAGCCGTCGTAAATAGGCCGGGGCCTGGTGTCTTGATTTCTGCACAGTTGCTCCTGTGTATGTGCGTGAATGTGTATATGCGTGTGTGTGTGTGTGTGTGTGAGACGCTGTTTTTTTTCCTATAAAAGCAATTTGCCCCATGCTCGGGCTAGGCAATGAGCAGATGCTACCATTGTAAATGATGATGCGAGGGGCCATAATAAAGAGTTGATAAACACAGAATTACTGCTGGGCCGTGGGCACGCAGAGAGAGGGAGGAGGGAAGAGGAGAGGGGGGAGTGAGAGGAAAGGAGGGGTGAGAAGAGTGGAAGACATACAAATACACACAATGAGAACGCTTTAAAAGAGGCATATAGACACTTATATTGATAACCTGGGAATGGAGCTAAGCAGCTCGGTGACTGACACAGCTCATTTTGTCTTTTGGTCCATAAATGCAAAAGTACAAATGTGACGATATCAAAGCTGTACATTTAGTCTTCCTTCTCTGTTTATATCCCTTTCTTATCATTAAAAACTCCTTTCATTGTTAAGATTGAAGCCAAGGTACCATGCACTGGACTCAGACATCTCTTTCAGGTGGTGCCAAATGCATACACAAAGGGGATCTGGTCCATAACTGGCACTAAGCCCCTCCTGCTGACCCTGACATTAATTTAACTGACCATTCAAAAGTCACAGATCCCTGCATTTGGGGAGATTCTTGTAGAGTTACTGGAAGAGTTTGAGTACAAGCTTTTAAATGAGTATTTGGTGTATGACAACTTAGTATGACATTTGTACATAATGTTTAGTTTGCAACTATAATAACAATAATGCATCAGATTTTATAAGCGCTTTTTATCAGAGACCCTCAAAGAGCTTTACGTTGGATACACCATTGATTTGCTCACACAGTCACGCCCTGATGGTGGTAAACTATCTTAGTAGTCACAGCTGCCCTAAGGGAGACTGACGAAAACGTGGCTGTTTGTTTGTGCCTACGGCTTCTCCAACCACCACCACACAACACTCACAATCATACACCAGTGTCACAATCATACAATGTATGAGTGGGAGCCAATGGACAGACCAGGGATAGGTCAGGGTTTGAACCGCCAACCTTCCAATTATTGGCCGACCACTCTACCTCCTGAGCTACTGCCGCCAAATCTACTATCAGATCCTGCTGATCTTACTACTAAAGTACAACTCTTTATCTCATAATATTACGACTTTGGTCTTTTTTTTCCTATAACATGACACTAAACCTTTTTTTAGCTTTAGATATGTTTAGGTACAATTGTTAAATATTTAAGAAAAAAAGCTGCATAAAAGAAACTTGATGAGTTCAAGACAGCGATCATCTGGTTGAGGCAGAGGGAACTTACTCCTTTTTACAGGAAATAAAAATCAGTCATCACTGCGTTTTTTAAAAGTGCCACACCAATGTAAAGACACATTGTGAAAATGAACACATGTAATGTGGAGAAAAAGGCTTTATTGTTTTAAATATGTTTTCAAATGATGCAGATGAAAGTCTGACTATTAGCAGAGTTATTTCAAATGTGCTTGTACTTATTTGCACTCTTGGCCTGAAAAATCCAAATCTCTGTCTTGCTGCATGCCTCTCTCAGCCTTCCCTGTTCTTCTCTTTCTTTCCTTTGGCTGGGGGACTGTTTTGATGCCACTGTGCACCAAGTGCCTTGTAAATGCTATGACCCCTGACTCATAGGGGACCTATGAGTGTGTGTTTGTGTGAGATTGAAGCTATGTCCCCGGGATGTTAGTCAAAGGGCTGCCATGTTGGCCCTTTGAACAGACTCTTCACTATGTAGTGTGTTTTTTTTTTTTTTTTCTTCTTCTCTGCCCCCCTTCAAACATCTCCCACTCTACTCAATGTTTGATGTTGGTTGGACATTTTGTTAGACAAAAAAAAAAAAAAAAAACACAACAGCACAGACCCACACAGACAGAAATAGGACAAGCCCTTTTGCGGACACACACATGCATTCTTGAAAACCTCCTTAGAGAGGAGTCAGGGAAAGATAGACGGGAGGAAGAGAGAATGAAAGATGAGGACAGAGAGCAAATGCAGGGAAGATTAAGAGGGAGAGAGAAAGAGGGAGAAGGAGGGGAGAGATTCTCCTCCCTTCGGCAGCAGGGCTGGTGTGTCTTTCATGTCCTCCATGCTTGGATCTGAAGCTCGCTTTCCCAGCTGGGCCTGGTGTGCATGTGTGCAGCTAAGTGCTGGCTAATTTCCCCTCGGATCTCCCGGCCGTAGTCTCTGATTTCCCCAAACCGCCCCACCAACGCCACAGACACCGCTGCCTCTTTCTCCTGCATGTGTGAAGTGGCGAATGGCGAAGGGGAATTTGAGCAGCGATGGCCAGTCAGGAGCATCTATACCCCAATATCATGCTGTGAATGAGAGACTGTAAAGCGAATCTTCAATAGGAGGAGAAAAATGCAACCACACTCAATCTCAAGTCTCCCTCTACAGCCAAAGAGAAAAATCAGTTTCTAACCTTAAATATTCACAGCAATCAGCTGATAGTTATCGCACTTCTCATCATCATTTTTGTTATTATCATGACAAAGGAATGAAACGTGCAAATATGCCAGAACTCAAACCTTAATTTCTGCACATGCAAACAGATTCTAGTGAACAGCAGAGGGGGCCAAAATGCAAAAGCCTTTTTCAGGAATTTGTCAGAGCATTTAGGCATTTTGAATTAAAAGGAGCATTTTGGGCAGAGCTTTGTTGTGGTACTCAGTTCAAAGATTTATCAACCCAGTCAGCTCTCTCTCTCTCACTCTCTGAGAGCGCACATAAGAAGAGAGATGCTGTAATTGCCTTTTGCTTTGTGACCCTAAATTTCTCTGAATTTTAAGTAAACAAAATTCAACAGTGAGGAATGTCACCCACATACTTTCATGGAGAGCAGAAATGGAGTGAAAGCCGAGCAGACAAAGATCATGAACTCCTAAAACTGACAAATAGTTGACGGCTTGAGAGTTGGGATAAATTCTGGTTTTACTGAAGTGTTCATTTTTGTCAAAGGGAAAATATTTTTAGAACCAAAAGGATTAACAATGATTTTTCATCACTTTTGCAAAGAGTATCTGATTCTATGTTTTTTACATTAGCTTTAGGCTGTAATCACACTACCCCAAGGTGAATATACTAGACAGACAACCAGCAAAGCTCACATTTAAAATGATAAGCATTGACCACTTCACCAATGACTCTGCATTTTGTTTGGAGTTTCATTGACCCTTAAATTGAAGAGTACCTTTTCTTTGTCCATGTACATCCAGATTCAGGAGAAAAGTACAGTTAGTGGGCTATTAGATTAAGTTAATACCTTTTCAAAGCGAGTAGCAGTGTCTTTATTACTTCAATCTAGGACTCGTGTCTGACTCTATTCCTGATTTTCAGGATTGGTAATTTATGTTGGATTAGGGCTTTATATCTTGGATTTGTAATCTGAATTGACTGCACTGGCAATCAGATGATGGATTACACCCTGTTCACAATGACAGACTTGTAATAATGAGGACTCGACTTAGACTCGAACACATGGAACAAAGAATCTATTCAAACACAGAACCATGTAGTGAGGACTTTATTGAACTTAAACATCATGTAATAAGGACTTCACTTGAACTTGGACACATGAACAGAACTTGACTTGGACAATTACAGACAATTGACTTAAACTCAACAGCATGTAGTGAGTCCTTTATTCAATTCAAACACACATAATGAAGACTTGGACTCAGACACACGTAATAAGGACTTGGCTTAGACTTAGATACATGTTAAGAGGACTTGATTTGGACCCTGAAACATGTAATAAGGACTGAGCTCGTGTTTGGACACAGGTAATGAGAACATAGCTTGACCCTGAGTCCATTACTGGGAACTCAATGTCTGTTTCTCTTTTCTGATTTTGACTTGTACTTGAACACTAGAGACTGGAAACTCTCCTTGTACATGAGATTTGACAAATAACCACAACACTGCTGAGCAGAAACTCTTTGTGAAGCTGGACATTTGACCACTTATTACTCAGAGTCTGACTTGGATTTTTGTCTCGCTAACTCAGCCCTGTGCTGATTGGTACGTCTCGCTCGAATTCTTGGTCCCCCTATAATTATTCCTCCTGAGTCTGTAGTGGTATCCATGACAACAGTCCATTCATTCTAAGATCAATCTGCCATTTAGAAATAGCCGGCCAATAGTATTTCCAATGACCAATCAGAATCAAGCACTGAACAAAGCCATGAGTTTAAGAAAGATTAATATGGAACGACAAAATTACATGTATTTATCATGTTTTACACTCCTTGTACATATTGTCTAATTTGAATATTGGTGCATTTTAAGAGCGTATGGAGAGCTTAGCATTACTTACAGCTCACAGAAAGATTGGTTCATTTATTACATTGTTCAATTTTAACTTTTTTTAATTAAGACATAAATAAATACACTTCTGACTAAAATCTTTTACGACCTCACAGCTTGGGAATTTCTGCTGAAAGCTCCCGGCACACTGAGGAGGCAGGAGAGCCAGTCAGCACTTTTTACCATGGATGTGTGTATATGTGTGTGCGTTTGGTATGTGTGTGAGCGTGTCCCATTCGTTCGTGCATGTGTGGTTCATATGTTACATTATATATTTCTGTATGCATGGCTTGTATTTGTTAGGAGCGTAATTCATATAGATGCCCATATTTTATTCTCCATCGCCGTATGCACATTAGGGGGACCCTCACATAGATGTTACAGATTGCTTTATTCATTCTCTGCACATCAAACAGAAATGACACACAGCCCCTTTGTGCAAAGATGACAAGGAGAGGGAGGAAAGACAAAGGGTGGGAGGGAGGAAATAAAACGGGGCATTGTGGAGGGGGGCAACAAATACTAACACTGCTTCAAGCCATGGCTGAATTTAGAAGGGAGAGCACATTCCAATGTAAATAACAAAATGGCCGCCTTTCATCAACGCTCATTTCACTAAAAAAAAAAAAGAAGAAAGTGATGAGACATATGTCTAAATCTGCGCTTGCAGCAAGCTTTTTGATGTGACAGAAAATGTCCTGGGGTTGGATGATAGACAATGTGAACACCACGCTGTGCATCTTTAAATTTGACTCCTCAGCTTGTTTGTTTTATTTTTATCGCTGTTTTTAGTCAGAATATCATTTGTCACACAAACAGGATAATGTGGAAAATGCATAAATTATGCATGAGACATTTTACTCATCTGGAGTCACTATAAAGCACTACGCCACATTCAAGAAGCAGATTGAATCAAGAAATTAAACAAAGACGTCAAATTGACTGCAGTCACGGTAAACCACTGCTGACTGCAAAGCCACAAAATAGACGAGCAGTTTATGTAAAACTGCATCTTAAGGTTACAAGGTGTCTTTAATCAAACATACATAAAGAATAGATGTACATAGTGTGAAGCAAAACGTTAAAGGCTGACCTGCAGTATTTGTGACTGTGTATATCTATTCATGTCTCGTTAACCGCTGGATGATAGGAATGTTATTCACAAATAGCAAAGCATAATTGTTATATTAGTGACAGTTTCAATTTTGTTTTAATTTTGATGATTTTGGGCTTGAATATAGTGAAAACCATAAATCCAGTAATCTCAAATAGTGGAAATGTTTCTAAAGATCAATCAAAAGTTAACAAAATGTCGAACTTTCACAAAGTATTTTTATTTATACATTCAGTACAACTTATTTGGGACTCCTTTAACATGAATTACTGTACCAAGGTGGTGTGGCGTGGCGTGTAGCTCCTCTTTATCTTCCTCCTTACAAATATCCCTCTGACTCTTGATGGGGTATACAGTAGGTCCCACAAGTTGGCAGGCCAATTAAGCACCATTATATCATAACCGACTACCCATTTGGCAGTAATTTTGGCACTGTGAGCAGGTGCAAAGTCCAGCTGGAATAGGAAAGAGGTAAATATTTAAGTTTTAAATTTTGTAATATACCTGTAGAAAGTGGAAAAAGCAGTGCATTTATTTGTGGCCAGTCATCCAGTTTTGTTTCAAGATGAAGATCAGATTATGTTGGATATGACACGCACGCACACACACACACACACACACACACACACACACACACACACACACACACACACACACACACACTGTTCATTAGCAGGCTGGCCAGCTGTCAGTTAATATGTGTTTTGTCTGTCATTTACATCACAGCCAATCACCGAGCCAGGTGTAATGCAATTAAAAAAGACATTAATGCAGGATTGTGATTGGTAGAGAAAAAGAGGCGAGAGAGCACAAAGAAAGTATTCTATCTATAGAGACATTCTGGCCATTGGGGCAATTCAGACCTACAGATAAACAGTCACACACACATACAAACTAATCGAGTGAAACACAGTTTGATAAAAACATGAGGCGGTGAAGCTGTCGTCTAAAGGATTCGCTACTCAGTTCAGTTGTTGTCAGAGACACACAAACATTTACAGTAGTCTCAACCATTGCGCTGTGAAATTCTGCTTGTGTTCGTGTGTGTGCTTGTGTGAGTGTGTGTGTGTGGGCTGTAGATTTAATAAACTGACTTCTAAACACGGCCCATCTCTTTGAGGGTCCCATGAAGAGGTCCTGCAGTGAGCCTTTAAATGAAGGATCAGAGCAGTACCCTCCAAGATGCCAAACAAACACACAGACACAAACACACATACACGTGCCATGAACCAACCCCTCCCAATAATCCCTCTCTCTTCTAATGGTAGCCATTTGCCATTCATTAAGATCAAAATGCTGTTTTGTGCCAGGACAAATTGCAAAGCTATTCCACTCACAGCTTGAGAAAGGCCCGAGACTCGGCTGGGTTTCCCGTGGCTGTTTGAGTGCCCAAGCAGGGCGAGCTAATGTGGCTAACAGGATCTGAATTGTGCACTGGGTTGAAGTAGGAGGGAAGGAAAACTGAAGGGAAATGGACAGGAGATTTCTGCTTTTTTCTCCCCCTATTATTTTAATCGCTTCTATTGGTTTAAGCAGGGATGAAAGTTGTCCCCTAAAATCTGACCTTCTTAGAGTGTTATCTGATGGCAAATGCTGCTAATATTGTTTACAAAAGGTAATTGAGTGTCAAGAAATATTTTTACTGGCCAGTTCAGGGCTACAGATAAACAAAATGCTCTATTTTGCCTTGTTATGTAAGGGAAAGTATCATAGACTGTATATAGAACGGACAGCATCTGCCTCCTCGATGGGTGAAGCTGAGAACAGCACCCTCTGGTGACGGGCTGCAGTATAGGTCATAAAACCGGCCTCCGCCAGCAAAGCTTATAGAGCTGTAAACAAACTTTAGAAATTTATAACACTGAACATAATTGTTCTGTGTAATAACATGTAGTTATTGTAAGACTGGTTTGTGCTCAAGTCCTCTTTTTTTCTTCACAGCTCTATTTTTAAAAGTTATTAGGGGGTTGATGTTTTCTATGATTGACACCTGATACAGCCTATAGGCGTACAAAGATAGCCTAGCTCACCCAGGGGATACGCTGTATGAGTTGAGCATCATCACAGCGACTCTCCCGCCGAATTCGTACAATGCTACTGCGCAATGCTGGTTTCAGGAAATGGAGAAAAAAGCGGAATTTCCAAGAGCTTTTTGGCTTCAAATCTGTTTACTGGCGAAAGACGGAACCAAGTTCTCCATAGTACATAGTACAGTCTATGGAAAATGTTCATTGAATGGGTGGTCATGCTAGTCAGAATCCAGACAGTATGAGCTGGACCTCTCATGAAGGGATTTTGACGTGCATAACCACATGTTCTCTGACACAAATCCATTTTCCCACAGCATCCAACGTTATTGTGCAAGTGGACAAATGGTGGATTACTTGGCTGAGATTTAAAAAAAAAAACACAGATCAAAAACAAATACAGCAACTAATATGACTAATCTTGAAAGACATGTGTAAAGTGCTTAAACACTACACAGATGTTTATGTATGACTTTTAAATAGAGTCGTTAAGTTAACCAGGAAGAGGCTGATTTACTCAGAAAGAGTTCTGATGTTGGCAAATGTGTTTTTCTATGTCAAATACTGTCACATGACTTAAGGCAACCTTTGAATAGATAATACAGACAAAGGCAGAACTTTCTGACGCATGCATATGACAGTGAAACCCTCAGAAATGTTGTCCTTTGTGAGGCGACAATAAGCTAAAGGTGAGCTAGATTACTTGACAGTTGTAACGGTTGCATGCACATAGTGCTGTATCAGTTTCTGGTTAAGCATATTTGCTTGTCAGTCTTTACATTAGATTATATCTGGATAGGTAATTCTAAACCTTCGGTGTCTGCAGCCTCATCAGTTTCTGCAGCCGCTTTCCCAATCGCTGGTTTGTATTTTTAATCTTTGTGAGCTTGATCTTTAAAAAAATATTAAAAAATTCACTCTGATACTGTGTATCCATCGCCTTTGTGTATATGTGTGTGTCTGTCTGTGTGTCTGAGGGTGTGTGTGATGCAGGTGGGTGAGGGGGTGGTAATTAACAATGACATCTCCTGAGCCAGGTCTAATCAGTGCTCTCTTCTCCTCATATGCTATATTTATCTCTCCTCTCCATCCTTCTATCATAGTTATTATCACTTCATCTCTGTCTTTATTTACCTCCTCTCTCTCCCTCTCTCTCCTGCAACCATCCCTTTTATTTCTTTTTCACTTATTCTCAGGGAAGATATGATTAGGAAGATAATAGATCAACAGAGGCTACAGATGTTTCCACTTACAATAGCTTGTAGAGAAATATAGTTATTCTCTGCTTTTATTCCGCAGAGAGGGGGAGATGGATGAGATTGGTGGTTTAATCAGGATGTAGAAAGCTTTGCTAATTGGAAAATTATGTTAACAGTAATTTGACAGTTAAAGGGTATGTATTTTAGCATACATGTATTCATGCTAATAAGCATTTCCTCTTGTTTTGTTTAAGAGTAAAGATTTCATCAATCCATGTCACAGACATTGACATGATTGTCACTCAAACATGGGAAAGCAATTAATGACAGTGACTTTATAATGTTTTAAACTAATCTCATTGTCTTCGCTGCTTTGAACTTTTCTTTGTGACAGTGTCAGGCCTCACTGCTGTACTCATACCGATAAATATTAATTCAGTAAATCATATACAGATCACTCCTCTATGAGCCAATTTTAGGGTCTTACCTAAAGCTGAGGAGGCTGACATGCCGGGTTTTTATAGACATTCAAAAACATACAGTGCTCACTTCATTCACCAGTATTTTGAGGCAGAGCTGGCACAAACAGCAGAGTCTCCCCTGTTTCTCCTGTACGTCAGTGTTTTGCGAATTCCTCCAAATTTCATCCTTTTTAGCTTGTTGGACACTGTATTCATGCCTCCCACATGAACTGATTCCTTCATGTCTTTCATGCTCTTTTTAACAGTAATTCCCTCTTTCTGCCAGTACGAGAATCACCTTTTTATTTTTCAAACATCAATGGAGAAGACTTTTTCTGCAGTGTTTTGTTGACCCAACTCGACAGTCGCACGGCCTTGAGGTCCTACTGTTCTGTCATCACTATGATGTCCATGTGATGTGGGGTGTTTGGGTGTCTGTGTTAAACATGCAGAGTACAGGACAGATTGCCTTGAGTGAGTGTGCTGTAAAACGTCACATCAAAATTCAGGTGTCACTAGTTGTAATCATACCTTTGACATTATTATGTTGTGATTTTTGACTTATCTACATTTTTTTAAACAAAACAAAAATCTCTTTCAGGGTTATCATTTGAGCTCCGAGTCAAAACTGATCAATCTGGGTCTTTTTTTTTTTAAATTTACATGCTCAAATTTACAAATTACATGACCATGTCAAGAGGTATCCAGTGCTGAAAAGTGAAGCTAATGTGAAGTGTAAGAAACTGCAGGTAGGTCCTCAAGTGTCCACGTAAGGTAGGATCTAAAAGTGAGGACTTATTTTGACAGTCTTTTTGAGGTGACTAGTGCTGTAAAGTGAAGTCTGTGATGTTCTACTGTCTGAATAACCTTATGTCTCAAAGACGCTTCACCTCACAGAGCTTTTGGCTCAAATCAAGACCATTCCCAGCTATGCAGGGGTCTTTCTACATGGAGTTTCTGAGTCTGAGTACTCTGGCTTTCTTCCACAGTCCACAAACATGCTCTTCAGGTTGAGTGGCAACTTGTAGTTGGCTGTAGGTGTGAGTTTGGTGATGAATGGTTGTTTGTCTGTACATGTCAACCCTGTAAAAGACCAGTGATCTGTACCCTGCCTCCCACCCAATGATAGCTGGGATGGGCTCCAGCCCCCTCCATGACCCCAGAAAGGATAAGTAGTAAGATAATAGATAAGTGGATGAATAATGGGTGTTTTTAATCACAGGATAGGGATGAGCTAATGTGGAAAAAGCACCTCTAATCTGCAGGTCAGGGCCATGGTGGGCCAAACAAAGCAGGACTTGAAGATTCTGGTCTCCTCCAACACAAAGGAAACAAGTATGTGCTTCCTAACCTTAACCAATTTTTTAATGACCAAAAACACAGTTTTTGTCTACCATAAGCAAGAAAACAAACCTTGGAGAAAATTTTAAATGTATCATAGAAAAAGGGTTTAAAAAGGATGGAATAACCCTGAGCTCACAAGGTGCTACAACATACACCTGTCAATCATGAAAAAAACATGATATCATTAAAAGAGTATATTTGTGATTCAAGCATGTGTTGGGATAGAAACACAAGAGGTTTTATCAGGTGGTTGTATTTTTGCGTTTAACCCATTTTGGCTTTCATATGAAACCATAATGGAATGATAATAACAGCACTTACTTCAAGGTTTAGCTCCCCACATCAAAAATCCCCCACTGCCTGATGTCTGCTGTGTGTTTGTGTGTGTTTGTGTGTGTGTGTGATTGACCTCTAGTTCTGCTCATTGGCCAGCAGAAGGCAGGGTTGTAGCATCCTTTGTGTGTACGAACCCCCCAACTCGCGCACACAACAACCACACTTTTGCGCGCACACAGACACACGCACGCAATCCTTCAACCCAGTGGGCCCCAAAGTGTGTGTGTGTTTTAGAAGCAGGCAGACAGAAATCAGAATGAGAGAGTGTGTGTGCATATGCATGTAAGCAAGTGTGTGTGTGTGTGTGTGTGTGTGTGTGTGTGTGTGTGTGTGTGTGTGTGTGTGTGTGTTTGTCTGGCAGTGATGGGGGAACATGATAACCTTGTCTTCATGCAGGTCTAGGGGGTTGAGCAGAGTGGAGCATGAAGTTTCAGCCCTGCCAAATCCTGCTTTAAAACTGGCCTCAGACACACACACACACACACACACACACACACACACACACACACACACACACACACACACACACACACACATACGTGCACACATCCACAATAAGGCCCCAGACACTGAGAAGCATGCAGCCAGGTCCAAATGTGTGTGTGGGCATTGGGCCAATGTGTGTTTGAGTGCAGAGTGTGTGTATGCCTTGATTGAAAGCCAAAGAGGGATAGGTATAGGGGTTACAGAGGTAAACAAAGACAAAGGAAAACTTTAGAAGAGGAAGAGTACAGGAGGTTCTTCGGCGGGTCAGTTTTTGCATTTAAAAAAAAAAAAAAAAAAAACGCAAAAAAGAGGTCAACCGAGGCTAAGCTACAGCGAAGACCGGGAGAGAGGGAGAGAGGGAGCAAGAGGTGAAGCCAGAGACTAAAGTAAGCTGGAGTGTGTGTGAGACAGCGGGAAGAGTGATGAGTAACAAGAGAGAGCCTGTAAAAGAGAAATGAGGAGTAAAAGTAAGTGAAAAGAAACAGGCAAAGAGGACGAGATTTGTGTGTGCGAGCCAGAGAAGAAGAAAAAAAAAAAGCGCAGAAAGACAGAGAGACTGTGTGTGACATAAAAAAGAGGGAGAGATGCGAAAAACAAGAAAGAGAGAGAGCGATCATATGAGATACACGAGGAGGAATGTGTTAAAGCGTAAAAAAAAGAGGTGAAGTGAGAGACTTAAGTGTAAGGATAAGTGTGTGCATAAGTGAAAACGAGAGGAAGGGGGCACACAAGCTCAGGGAAGTGTCCTCCTGTTCAAACTTGTCCAACTCACATCTGGAGCCAAGTGCTGAAAGGCCTGGAAGTTACATCTGTGGCTTCCAACGGTCAGGAAGGTCTGAGCAAAGAGATCCTGGACACCAAATAATTCCTGCACTCAGATTAAATTTCCACTTCCTGCCCACTCCCACAGGCTCAGGTCAGCCAGTCCCCAGGACGTCTTCTTCTATCATCAGTGTAGAGGAGTCTGCAGAAAACACACTGTACTCATACTTTATAAAAGGTATTGAAACTCATGAATATATTTGACAAAAGTAAAAATTTGACAGTAAAAACCGCTCGGCTGAATGAGATTTCAGAAAGGTTCCCTGTAGACTAATGAAACACCGAAGAGCTCTGCAATACCTTTATTAAATCTGACACTAAAGTCCGCTGTTGATACTACAGGAGTGTCCTAATGTTAGGCAAAATCAATCAATCAGTCAGTACGTTTAAGACACCCAGATAATGCGATTGGAATTCGATTTTCAGCGTAGTTGGAGTATGATAGGACAATGCATGTGCACCACAATCCCCGGAGAGGTGGTGTAGCGTGCATCTCATCTGCAGAAAAAGTAGTGCATACATCATGTACGACAAAAACGATGCCGTACGATGCTCCATGTTCTTGCTCCAAAATGCCCAGCAGTAGTTGTAGCCACTTCTGACGTCTGGCATGGACCAGCTGTTGTTGTTGACAGTTGTATGAGGTCAGAAACAGCGCTGCTCAAAAGACCCATATCGCCCATATTGGGGAGGAGGACACGTTCATGTCAATAATTTGATTTTCTTAGCTGCATGTATATGCGGACAAGTAGAGAAGTACAATTCGGCAAAAAAACTGAATTATGAGCTTAGTCCGATTCCAAGCCGAGCATGTAAACGCACCGAGTCTTTATATGTGTTAGCCCAAGACACTAAAGCTGGTCTAGACCAGACTCTATTAGATCGAGTGTAAAGGGGGGTGAGAGGTTAGATTGAGCCCCATCCTGTAAGATCAGACCCACTCCTATCTCATCCTCAACCACACACAGATGAAACACTATGAAGTTACAGTGGAGAGGAAGAACTTCCTTTAACAGGCAGAAACCATAAGCAGAACCAGACTCCTGTTAGACAGTCATCTGCTAAGACTGATCTGAGTTTAGAGAGGAGGGAGAGGGAGATGGACACTGACGTTTGTAGCTGAAGCAGCTGAAAAGCAGGCAGGTCCAAGGCAGAAAAACATCTGCAGCAGCAATCCAGTCTCTTACACTCCATCCGAGTCCAATGTATTCCTCCAGAGAAGTTTTACGAACCCTCTCCTGTATGAGTCAAAGTCCTGATTTCTAGAAATCCAGATGATCGAGTTAGGAGACAGTGCTACATGACTCCAAGAACTTGTCATGTTTTCTATCTGTGAGTTTTTACCTCACCTCATCTTGAACCTGGAAACCTGCTGGAAAGTTGGTGCAACAATCCTCAAATTATCCTATTTTTTATTAAAAGTGCTGTTTCTCTTTCCTGGTAACTTCCCGTTCTTTAAATCTACGGTTATTTGATCACGACATGCAGAAGAGCCCATCCCTCTGCAAACGATCAGACGATCTTATGAGTAATAGAGAATTCAAAGCGTGAAAAAAAACAGAGTCATAAAACTAGATATGATATTTATTTGATATGGAAATGTTTATACATATGCATTGCAGCTTATTAATTATTCATATTGTCTTGTTTTTTCCGATTGTCTGTGATATACATTATGTATTCTCTTCTTCCGACAGACGCATCTTTGAAATGGGGAGAAGAAAGAGGTAAAAAGAAAAAAGGAAGGATCAGTTGGTGTCTCTCACTTTGACTACAAAAGAGTGAAAGAGGAAAAACTTCATTATATGGGCAAGTGACAGGAAATGTGGAGCACGACGACAGAGAGACTCGCAGAATAAGGACCTTTTTTTTTTTTTTACCACCTCTGTTTCATGTCTGTCGCTGAAAAACAAAGAAGGCGTCTCTGTGGACCCCACTATCCATAACACATACACATACACACTCAGACATGCACACACTCACACTGACCCCATATCTCACAAACAATGCCACCAACCATCAGCTGTCATCTTTATTCAGTGTCTTATTCGCTCCATAATCACCAGTACAGACAGTGAAACAGAAAGTTAATGCATTAAATACTGGTGTCACTGTTCACTCTGCTTTATGACACTTAAATAAAACATCACTCTGCATATCATAGCTTTAGACTTCAGGTAAATACAGCTGATAATGCTTTTAAACAAATATTGAGTGTAGGGCTCCACTTCTATTTGTTTTAAAATTAGGTCACTTTTTTGTTCGCTTTTAGAAATGTGTACTCACTCGCAGAGGATGAAATTGAGAAATAAATCACAATTAAATGATTTATCATTTCATTTTGTATGCCTGCCTGATTAAAAGCACTTTGAAGATTTAAATAAAACAGTTTTTTATTTTTTATTTTTTGGAAAGAGAGATGCTACAGTGTTAATCTGAGATTTCTCCCTCCTATTTCCCCTTTGAGAGTGTTTGTTTATAGGTGCATTTGTTTTTCTATCCACACCTATGAGAAATGTGGGTTATTCATTTATTTGTTTATACTTGATTATTTTTATTTTTTGAGATATTTGTCAACAGTAAGTGTTATACCCACATGGGATGCTCCTTTGTGGAGAATCTCGCTGGAGAACCAGAACAGGGCCAGACCATCAACGACTGGACCACGTGAGCAAGCTCCTTTTAACAAACTCAAACTAAAACACTGTCCGTTTAGATGTACCCTTATATTTAGAAAATTTCACCACTTCACTTCTGTTCATTTGTTTGATGCTGTTCTGTGGGTTTTTTTTCTGTTGGGCCATTATGTTGGTTTTTGGCTTCTCTGCTTTTGGTGAACTCTTCCTTTTTTTCCCCTTCAAGCTATTACTATTATTATTATTATTGTTACTTATTTTTAACTGCAAATGTCATAAGGGGCAACAGAGTCAGTGACTTTATTTGAACACTAGTTTCAAAACTCCTGATAGTTCCTTAAAGGTTTAAGTGTGATCAAGAAATTTGTTTCCCTTTTGTCCGTAGTTTATTTCACTTCACCAGTTTAAAGTAGATTAGTCGTTTAATAGTTACTGTTAAAGTCGATATACAGTTGTCTCTGGCATTGTCTCTGCAGAGTGACACACACTGTACATGTGGAAGTGAAACCTTAGTAAGAATTAATTCATACATTTGCTCCATGACTTTTAAATTCTTTTTAAAAAACGTTTGAATGTTTTTTACAGATTGTTTATAGAGAGTGTTACATATTTTCAGGTGTCCTGGGACCAGTTTGTGATATAGAAAGAGAATTAGGAGAAAATCATGGAGTGTACAAAGAGTTCAGGAGTGGCTAAAGGTAATCGATCACTAATATGTTGGAAATTTATCAGATGTATGTATGTATTATATGTATTAGGAATTCTTTCTTCTGGCATGATTTGGGTTGATATTACAACTGTTGACATTGTTTCTGCTCTTAAATCCAGTCATCGACATAGGTCAACAAAATTACCTTGATTGTTGAAGGGAATCAACAGCCCCTCATATCTTTACACAGACATGATTACCACTTTTTGTATTACAATCACATGATTTTAAACGTATTTATAAGGTATTTTTGAAATGTACTGTCCTTTAATTTTGTCCTTGTATATCTGCTGTTTCTGTGGTTTTAAAATCACATTGTGACTGATTTTTATATGGTCAATAAAACTCCTTTTTTGCTCTTTGCCTCTACACAAATAATGAATACTAATTTTAAGAAGAAAGAGAAGAAATTATATTAAAAAGTGTTTTGTATGGTTGTATGTTAAAACAAAAGCATGGCAGAGTGATCATAAGCAGCTTCAGAGCAACATCCTCATCATCCATGCTCTTAGCTGCTTTGAATATTTCAGCAGCTGCATTAATCCCTTGATCTGGTAAACAAGGATCAATAACATTGAGTCAGTTTCCTCACACGCCTGCACTCTCTCGGTTTCTATAGTAATGTAAAATGTCAGTTAAGGCAGCTCTGTTGTGCTTAAATGCACCATGCAGAATCAGTGGATGTGGTTTACTGGCTGAGGTCAGAGTGGGGTTAGGTGTGTGTGTGTGTGTGTGTGTGTGTGTGTGTGTGTGTGTGTGTGTGTGTGTGTGTGTGTGTGTGTGTGTGTTGGGAGGGGGTGTTTTGACTGGCCAATGCCTTTTTTCTTTTTCTACATTTTTGATGCTGACTGCTGTGCTGGTGTTATCAGGTCCCATTGGGAAATGTTTCCAACATCAGTCACTGAGTGTGTGTTTGTGTGTGTGTGTGTGTGTGTGTGTGTGTGTGTGTGTGTGTGTGTGTGTGTGTGTGTGTGTGTGTGTGTGTGCGCGTGCACTAGGGTGTGTTTCTGTATATATCTGTTTCTGTATGCAGAAATATGTGTGTCCCAGTGTGTCTGTGTGTACCGACAGCACAGTAATCTGTAGGCGGGTCATCATTCTTAATGCAGCCTGTGTCATCAGTTCCCGTGACAACAGGGGGAATGATGTGGCCGATACATATGAAACAGGGTGCCATGCATAAACATAGAGGCTGCAGGAGGAGGAGGAGGGCGAGGGCAGCGCGGGGCCGAGGTTATATGGGGGATATGTGTGTATGTGTGTGTGTGTGCGCTACCTGGACCTCTTTCTATTCCAGTTTATTATTCATGAGCCCCCCTCCCTATTGCACTGTCACTAGCCCCTCCCCCTCACAGTATATGTGTGTACGTGCATGTGTGTGTTTGTGTGTGTGATGGATAGTGACAGCATCAATGGATGGTAGATCAGGATTAAGATCAAACACAGCTCAACGTCACTCTCTGTCAGGTTCACTGGACATGTTTGGCCACACATGCCTACAAATAAAAACACACACAAACACTTACAGGTCAACAAACGCACTCGAAAAACAAGAGTTAAAAATACTGATAAAAAAAGAAAAAAAACAGTTATCACATTCAGCTTCAAAGTATATGTTAACTTTGTTGTCATGTTTTTGTCACTAGTGAATCTTTAAATAAAGGGTGATTGTTTCATGAGGCGGGCTATGCAAACCACCAGTGATAGTGTTTTGAAGATGAAGGTATAAACTGGCCACAGTGTCAAAGTACGTTGTTATTTCCAATTTCAATTTATATTGCATCATGTTGTCACCTGGCGCTCTCAATCTCTCTACTCATAAAAGGGGGTTTATGAACACTGCGTCCTAACATCTATAGTTTGTCAAGCGTGTGTGTGTGTGTGTGTGTGCGCGCCTACATTTGTGACAATGTGTGCCCCATACTCACAGGAAGTTTGTAGTGGGGGGGACACTTGGCTTATTTGTTCTGGGTGAGCACACATACACGTTGAACCACACACACACACGTGCACAGAGCAGAGGCGGTGAAGGCAGTTATGGCCTCCTCTCTCCTCGCACGGCATTCCAAAGGGAGATGTTTTCAATTCATTCATTATAGAGGGGTCACACTGGGTCAAGTTCAATGCCAGGAAAAAAAAGAGCGGCTACAATGAGGGGAAAGCCACCCACACACACACACACATGCGTGCACACACATGTACACACACAAGCGTACACAATATCCAATGTAGTAAGCACAGCACTAGCAGAATTATTGCTTGCTGAGCTTGGGATCTGGTGTAAATACACCAAAAATTAGCCTCATTGTGTGTATTTTAACAGGAGAGACATAAGAGTGGGAATAATAGGATGGAAGGTGATGAGGGGGTGGATGAGGTTGAGGTGGGGCATTGGTTTGGTGTTGAGAGGACTGGACAGTAAACATGTCAGAGCAGATGGGTAATGATGTTATTAGTATGCATCACAGCCTCTCAGTCGCACACACATCAAAACACACACTCTCCCTTTTTTCACATCTTTTTCTAACGCCACTCTCCTTGGCCTTGTCTCTTACCCCCTTTTGTGCTCTGGCAAATGTAGACGTTATATAAGTTTAACTCACAGCAAGTAGCTCAAGTGTAATTAGGGATACTTACACTTTAGCTAACAGTACATGACTGTTTTCCTGTATCAGGGATCTGAGATGCTGTTACAAACCTGTGAGAGGGAAAAAGAGGGAGAGGTGTGTACAACAGCAACGCTCACAGATGACTGTGTTTTAACCTTATTTCAGGGCTAATGTAGCCTGAACAGGTTGTTATAATAGGGTGGAACTCTAAATGGGCCTCAGTTGGACTCATCCTACTGGCATCTTCTGCTATAAAAACATACTCAGTATACATATTCAATAGCTCTACATTTTACACCAAATATTGCTCTAGAAAGTCTGTAGCTTCTAAAAAACAAATAAAAAGTGCTAACTTATGGTGCATTTTGACCGACTGGTCCACTGGGTATGTTTGGTACAGTGAACCTGGGTCTTTAAAAGCAGACTGTAGCCTGGCCCTTGTTGCAACATAAGACAGCTTGATTTCCATCATTTAAATATGTTACCATATTTGACTTTTTTTTGCAATCCTTGCGTGGATCTCAGCCAAAAATAAACAGAAATGAAGCTGCAAGTGTCGATAGATGGGTCCTCGCACTTTTTGCACATGTTGGACCTGTAGCAGCTGTGGCTGTGCAGTACAATGTACCTGCAGCTATGACTTCGCAGGAGTAGGAGTTTTTGGCTTAATATACTGTACGTCTAGCAAAAAACACGCACGTTATTTGGACCCATTGGCTATCGCTAAAAGTTTGAAAATTATAGGGGACACTGCAGAGCTCTTTTTGGGAATTTTCTCCACAAAACCAATGAATCATCTTTTTTTTTTTTTTTTCCAGGCCTGATACGTTAACAGAAAAATGGTAAGTTTTGAGAGCAAGTCAAGGCCTCCAAAACTAAAACCATTTTGGCAGGAAGGAAGGAAGACTCCAGCTGTCTCGCAATACCGCTTTACGCATCGCTCCGAAAAATGCAGCCAAGTGGTTGTTGATGAGGGACCGTGAAGCCGATCCGGATCGAACTGGTGAAAACCAAACACAGATCTGGTGAAATTCTGAGCCAGCAACAACAAGTCTCAGATTTTTGTTCCCCTTAACTCTTAAGGTTGCTGTTGAAGAAAACGTGTAAAGAGACAAGTTTTTTGAGAAGATTTAAGATAAGAGAAACAAATAACTTTATTTATCTTTGAGGGAAAATTCAAAAAGACATCGAGATTATACGTAAAATGAAAATTCATTTATTCTCTTGTTTATCATTGGCTAACACCCCCAAACCTCACTGGAGCCCAAATGATTTTCTTTATTCTATCATTGAACAGTCTGCTTGGTAACAGAGTTATTTGTTTTGTTTTGAAAGTGGTTCATACTCTGAAAACAGGGTGAGGCCTCTGCTTACACTGACGTAAAGCTAAATCTTGGGCTGGTATTTTTGTGTTTTTTAATGTCAGATGTCCAAACCAGTTTGCTGAATCACTCCTCAGTGACTTCTTTTAGAAAGTTTGGGGTTTATTGGAGTTGGTCCTGACAAAATTTCACCCTCTTATTCTGCTTTTGGCTGAGCGTCACAGCTCCATTGTCTTCTGGGGCGGCTGGAGTATCGTCTTGTCGGGCTCTAAACCACAGATGGTCATTCTGAGTGGCCGGTCTGGTCAACTAAACGGCCAGCCAGCGGCCTTTTTCTTGGTTTTCAGACCTCATTATGGTGACACAGCGAACCACAAATTCATGAGAAGCTTTTGGACGAGCCGCAGCGTGCACAGAAAAAGAGATTTCTGTTCTTCTCGCAGCTGTTGTGAATCTTTTAACCGCAGATGCTTCAAAACACTGGCTGCAGTATGACATCGAGACTCTTTGTTGTGGCAAGTTTTTGGAAATCAAACATGCAGAGCAGGTTTCTATTAAACAGGACTCATAAATAAAGGTTAAACACAATGGTTAAGCTTTTAAAAGTGTCCTAACATTACACTGGGTGGGATTCATGCCTCCTTAGCTGAGCCCACCGCTAAGGAGTGAGTCAAAAAGTGCTTTACTCCGCCTCTGTCTGCTTTTTTCAGATAGTTAATGTTCCATTTTCAGGCTGGCTGCAGCACCATCTTCATCAGAGACAGAAAAAACAGGAGTAATTAAAATGTCTTAACTTGTAGCTTAATTACGAGCCAGCCACTGAATCTCTTTGTCACTTCTCTTCTCTCCTGGTTCGCCCCTTTTGCATAAAACAATAAAACCTCTGTTAAAAATGTAATTTGCTCTTTGTTAAGATTAGATTCAGCCTCTTCTTTTCCTTGTCTAAGTTGAAACGTTGAATCAAATCAAAGAACAACACACTTCTCCTCTTTCCCCCCCAATCTTTTACTTCTGAACAGCCTCCCCTTCTTGAGATTCCTCCACACTGTAGCCATGGAAATGGGACTTTGGGGATGAAAGGAAACCATAATTTTGTGGCGGGATTAATTTGGAGACATGAGCGATGCCAAATGAAATCCCTGTCAAAACCTCTGCTGATTCTTTTCATCGCCTGCAGATCCCTGAGAAATCTGTTCCCCGTGGCGTTTATGATTTGACAGTCCAGTAGTTTTGGACTTAGTTCCCCCCTGATACCTCTGACATGTTGACATTAAGTGGTTTCTGAGACAGGCAGCACCCATATTTCAATCACCATTAAGCAAAGGATATTTGGTGTTAGTTTGAATAGGAAAAAAGTGCCGGTGACAAACAGACATTCACACATACAACAGCAGGCAAACAACAGTAATTACATTAGAGGGGGAGCAGCCAGCGCAGCCATTTCCTGGGAGTGCGGGGAGGTAAATATAGTCCACATCTGACCCTAAGAACTATCCAAGAACACCGGACGGATTGTTTACAAGTGTCCTTGTCGAATGTCCTTTTCTCCACATCAGGTCTGTCAGATGGAAAAACTTTGTACCATCTCGCCACTTTTTACTTTGACATGAAGGTAGCCCGTAACAAGGAAGGACGGAAATAGAGATAATATCATCAAAAATATGGACATTTTTGTTTTGTAGAATAGGGTCAGAATTTATTTTCAGACCAGTATCTTTTCGGTCAAATCAACTGTTGATGTCATTGACTTCAGTTTATCTCCATCATTTTTTTTCCTGTGAACACATCCTACATACCAATTACCCCAAATTACTTCAAACTATCAGCACAAACATGTCTTGAAGTTTTAATGCGTACACTGAAATTTTACAAAGTTTACAAAAGTTTTAAAACCTCATGTACAAATATAATGTACAGATATAAATTCAAATAATTGTACATTTTCCGCAAAATAAGGTGAATTTCCTTCATATGCTCACAAAAACAGGAACTGTTCACATAATTCTAAAAAAAACTCTAAGCAAAACTCCTCTGGTCTCATTATTCTAAATCACAGTCTCAGAAATCTCTGATTGCGAATCACACCTCTCCCATTTTGTTCACCAGCTGCTTGGTTAGGGAGAAGATTACCGCTGATACAGTCCTCCAACCTGATAGAGGGTGATTTGGTTTGATATATTTTATGATTTTTTACAATTCTTTGTCAGTTTAACCGAAAACTTTGTATTACAGAGCAAATGAATATCTTTTTTTAGAGCCGCTGGTGTATTTTCTTTGATTTATTTAGTAATATGACCATTTCCACCACATTCTGCTGACCTATGTGACTACGAGTGCTGCACAGTCCTGAAACATGCATGTGTACAGACTAATTGACCTTTTTTCATCAGCAGTGGTAATTGACTTTTCTCACTTTCAATACAGCTGTTTGATAGAAGCCAAGTTTGAGGAAGGAGACAGTCCTGCATTTTCAGAACAACAGCCAATCAAATGCAAGACATCATCTCAACTTGTGGGGTTCAAAGCAAGTGATAAAAATGCTGTGCAGTTTTTCTAGTAATTTTTAGAGAGCTTTTGGCTTACAGAATTCAGTAAGGTGTTCTTCTACTCCTAGAAAAGTGTAGCTTAAGCTGTTATGAGCATAATTTTGTCAATTTCAGCTCTTAAAAGTGCCAGTAATAGTCCCCCGGGGTTAACCTGTGAGATGGTTTTCGGTCTTATTAATCCACAAGAGCGCCGGTGTTTCAGACATCTGCATGGTGATGCAAAGTTTTGTGATGTTGCTCTTAAAGTTTGAAGAAAGAAAAAAAATGTCTTACTCTTTTCATTTCCTTCAGATAAAAGTAAAGTACTGATTATGTAGAAAACCACGGATAGCCAAAGTAAAACAGCGTTAAGTAAAAATTGATCATCATTATTATGCAAACCATGATCATGTTAAGCATCTCAAACACTGTTATCCGAAGAAATACTACTTTTTATTAGGGCAAATGCACAAAGAAGTCAAAAATATTTCAAGAATATGAAATAAATGCAGGACCCCTCAGTGAGAAACTAGGTCCTACCCCTCCTCATCCAAAGTCCTAGACGCCCACAAACCACACCTTGCATGAACATGTTTGTGCATCAGACAGAGGAGGTATGAACGGCTCCTACTCGCTCAATTCAAATTCTACCAGCATTTGTGTGCACACTCACACACACACATTTTTGCACACACACAAACGCTCAGAAAACCCAAACACAGCATCCCACATCAACTGGGACTTTATGAATCTCATATCTTCCGGATATACCTGCATACTACATGGCTTACTGCCTATCCACCTGAAATCCAACCAAACAAAGAAATTTATTCCCTCAGTAGAAGTCTCTCTTTCTGGAGGCTTTGCAACCACCAGCTGAGCTCCATTTAAGCAAACTTCCAATTTTAGAGCTTGCATTCAATTTGAGACCTGGAGACATCAGATCTAACAAGCAGGCAGGGAAGCCATCACTATTAGGACTTTATGTTGTTTATGTTGTGTCAATTTTTCATCTCCTTGGTCTCTGCTGTATTATCAAGCTGTGCTTTGCTACCTGAAGACTGTTCCTCTGCCGCTACAGAGGAAAAGTTTGATGCTAAAAACTTCCTCTGAGTTTGGGGGTTTGGGGCTGAGAGAATGAAAGGTGAGGGCTGCGCAAGACGGGGAGAGTAAGGTCAGCCCACAGCATGCTAACTCCTGCAATATCTGGCAAGTTGCAGGCTTTCCGTGAGATCAGAGCAGCACTTTTTCCTCAATGCTTTTGCCTTCATCATCCCGAAAGTGACATGCAGCTCTCCTTTACACACCCTCCCTCTAAACGCAGATTAAAGATTTTGCCTGTCAAGGGTGCACAGTCGCTGCTAGACAAGCCAACAACTTCCCTCTGATTTAACTTTCATATCTTTTTACAAACCAGCTGCCATACATTATTGATGATGTGTGAGGTCAGGACAAGATCACAACAAGAAAAGCCACTGCCCACACGCTCGCATCGCTCGCCCTGACAAAACACACCGCGTACACACACACACACACACACATACGCAGACGGTCCATGTTTTCCATCTCAAGACCAGAGTTTCACCTGGACTTTGTCTGTTCTGCAAACACACCCTGTCCATCGGTACAGAGTTGGTCGGGTGAAGGGGGCTGTCCCTTTGAAATGATAAGTAGAGTCTTCCGACACTGAGGGACTGTCATTGAAGTCTTTGTTTGCCCATCGGCGGCTCAGAGGCGTCTGTGAACTTGAGGGTCGGAGCAGAATAGAAATGACCATGTAACCTACTTCGAGGTCACCTAATAAGGGAAATGTATTCATATATTTTCCTGGTTGTATTAGTTCGTGCAATATGCTTCGCTTTGAAGCCCAAGGTTGCAGGTTCATTTTTGAAGTGGTTTTCAATCATCCCTTGGCATTGAAGTTTCTTTTGTGCATTGAATCTGGGCTTCAGAGGGCTACAGGTCCTGTTCATCCTCAGAATATCTACATACTGGCTATAGCCCATGAGATTCTTTTAATTGTTCTCTGTGTCACAGGTGAGGGAGTTTCTAGGAATTTAAATACCCACACATACAGAAGAGCAGTCATAAAAAGTCCCACAAACTCTATCAAGTGGATATTTAGGACAGGCTGCATCTGTGCGAGTCTCTTTTTCTGTCCAGCCGTCCATCCCTCGGGCTGCTGCCGCTCGTCCAGACCTGCTGCGGCACAGTTGCCTCGAGCAATTTTTCCCCTCCATCATCACCTGTATTAAACACTCTCACACACCCCCATCCCTGCTGACATACCACCCCCTGCTACCTCGCCACATCCCGGACCTATTTTCCACATTTTTGAGACTCGTCCTAGCTGGACCCCCTGGTCAGATTCACAGCAGGGACCCCTCCAGCCCATCAGAGAAGTAATTCACACTCTGCCTCATTTGAGTTATTTACTCTATTACCACCCTGGCTGGCCCATTCCCCATAGCTACCCACTGAGACCTGGAGCTCAGACTGGGTACCAGGGCTTCTAGTAAGACTGGCAATGCCCTCCAACACCTCCCCCCTTCTCCTCCACTGCCTATGAAGGGTGCTGCCACCTCAATCTGCAGCTGGCACAGTATGGAGGGGGGGGTAAGGTTGAGATGGGTGTGGAGATTGCTCAGCTAGCTTGGAGTAGAGAGGTGTGGGTGCTGCACTGGTGTGTGTTCATGTTCATGCATGTGTGTCAGGCGAGTGCTCTCCCCATTGGTAGTCTCGTGTAAGTCATTATCACACCCAAAGCCTGTTCTTCTCTCCGATGACTTGATAGATTTACATGACTCCGTCTGGGGACCTGTGAAAAAGACAGGGTCCAGTGGAGAGATGAGAGAGGAGACAGCACCATCATCCTCTCCAAAATAAGAAGAGGGACGGCACAGTCACACCTTAATAAAAAATGCCCCCTTTTTTTGGTGGGGGGTTGATGCCGCTCCTCATACTTCACACAATAGGCGCAAGTCTCCATCTCCCCCCATTGTAGAATTGAAATAGCCCTCCTCATCAAAGAACCCCTCAAGCTTGTCTGCCAGGGTAAGAAATGAGTGATTTCGCCAATCTTCTTCATCTCATTTCAATCTCAAATCATGTCACTTTCTTTCACATATTACTATTCAGTATTATTCTGGCTTTCATGGATTTACCTGACTGTGTTACATTGTCTTCAGTGTCTGACAGGGCCCCCGAGAAAGGCACATAGCCAATTGGTGTGACTATTTGTGGTGCTATTACACTTCTGTAGCAGATAGCAAGGGAGCTCTGAGCTGTTGTTTGCGAGGACAGTCAGCTTTTCACATTTCTGGGACAAAATGTAATTTGCAATCTGTGAGTTAAGGCACCTTTGACCTTTATCCAAATAAAAGCAACTTCAACTCATGATTAATTTCAATTTTATCAAAATAACTATTGTGCTCATACTGAAAGAATCAAATCAACAGCAGTGTATGGACTTGACGTATTTAAAGAGTTATACAGTTATAGGACTGACTGGCAGACAAAGACAGAACTGCAACTATAACTTTCAGTCTTGTTCATGTGATCTGTAATATACTTGTTCATGGTAATAGTTTGACCTGTTGACCTCAACTCTTACAATAGCTGTTATTATCAGTCATGCTCATTTCATTATGATGCTGTTCTGGATAATATACGTAACTCACCTTCTTTCGATTTAAATGGCACTTTATAAGACTGAATAATCTCTTGAGTGTTTGCTCTGATCATTTGTCTCTATCCCGTTTTCTTGGCCCACACAGTCCACGGCTGTTCTCCTTGAGTCTGGTTCTGCTTGTTTCTTCCCCACCATTGCCAAATGTTGAAATGGTTGGTTGTCTGTTTTCAGTGTCCAGATATGACATTTTCATAAAGACTTCTGAGACAAATGATGTTACGATTTAATTTTAGAAAAATGAAGAATTGCCCTTTTTTTTTTAAATAAATTGTTTGGTTGGTTGTTGTCACTGTACTGATTTTGTTTTTGTAAAGTGGTCTGAGATAAAAGTTAAGTGATGATTTTGTGCTAAAAATATAAAACTTGACTGGGATGTTTGTTGGTTGGTTACTGTATAGATCATTCAGTCTCAGCGAATGATTGTGTGAATACAATCTGATGTGCTGATGTGTATTATAAATGAATAGTTGTATTTGCAAAAGTTTACAAGACACCAGAACTTCAGCTACAGTGGTCCATAAATTCAAAACAAGTCATAACAAGGTTGCATTATCCTTTTATAGCTAAGTCTTAAGCATAATATACAAGAGATCAGACAATGCCATTAAAATCTGGTTTAAAAAAGGTAGCAGACTAGCCCTCATCACACCTGGCCCCTGTGAAACTATACACACTCATACTTAACGTAAGTTATACATTGTGAGAATCAACAAGTTTCAAGGCAAGCCATTTGAGCAAAAACAGATGAATCCTACAGAATGAAGAAAATATTGTCATTACAACTACATATTGTAGGTCAACATTGCACTAACTAAGAGGTTTCTGTGTTCCAGTTTTAAGTCACAGCTCAAATATGGTTGTAGAAACTCTTCCTATTGACAAATCAATTCCCTTGATTTTGATCTAAACTGTAATACACAACATAAGAATCAATCATAGCTAATACATTGAGAATAAATGAGAGTGACCGATTTCTGATCCATTGTGCATATTTTTGATTGTTTTCCACTTTGAATCTAAAACCTACTCGAATTTTGTAGGGGTGTAAGCCTGTATATGTGTTTTTGTCTGTGTACGAGTATTTGTAAGGCTGTGTCAGAACATCTCCAGAGTGTTACGATTGGTGTTTGCCCTCTTGTCTCTTCAACTCTCCTTGGTCGAGCGGAGGCAGCAGGTGTTGATGCTTCCTCTTTTCAAAGTGTGGCTCACACCATTTAAAAAGTGAGGACACACTCTCCTGTTTTGCATATGTTTTTGGTTCTGGGGTTTCAGAGCGGTTGAGTCCATCTGGGTGGGATTCCAATATTGCCACATTAAATTGACTTCTTAACACTTATTTTTGCTCTTTTCCCCTCCTGCCTCTGTTTTACAGATTTAAATACAGTATCTGTTTTATCATTCCTGTTGTTTCATTGTGTTGTGACACTTAACTGATGACCATCCTTTGTTAACTGGCCTTATTTTAGTTACCTATCCTTATTTTGTCCTTTAGAACAAGAGCAGGGGTGGTAATGACTACAAACATTAAAATCAGTTGTATGTTTCCATTTTGGTGACTTTTTTTTTTGTTGTTTTTTTGTCTGCAAATCTGAAATAAAGTCTGGTCTAATGGCATCTTAAGCTAATCTAACATGTTTTTTCCCCTTTCACATATTAAATTTGCAGATATTTCTGGGTTTTTATGACACTCATTGGGATGTCAACATAAGGTCCTTTAGCTCAGGCGTAATGTACAGAATTGACAAGGGAGTCATTAAGCATAAAGGTAAATGATGTCGATGGACTGAACCATTTCTAATCGATTCTCAACAGGAACCGGCTATCGTTAGCCATCCCGAGTCATAGGTGTGTTGTTTAGTACGTTGAAGCAGTTAGCCAAGCACACTTAGTATTCTATAATAATCAAAAGTATATAAAAGTTAGTGTTTAATCAACTGACCATTGTGATTGTTTGGTTTTGGTACCCTCAACAAAGCCCCCCTCTACAGAGGCTGTAAACTTGACTGTATGGACAAACACAAGTTAAACTAACAATGAAAATGTGACTTGTGGAACTTTTTGAAACAATTTAAGTGAGTTACTCTTTATTTTCACTCAACTTTTTACAACCTGAAGAAATATCATCCTTAAAACGTTAAACTGTTTGAGAATTTTTTTTACAGAAATATTAAGTAAAACTAGACTAAAATGATACAAGAATAACATAAGAACTGATTTTTATATAAATTAGAATTGAAACAACACAAGACAGGAAGACTAAAATCAACTAAAATTTCCTAAATATAAAACTAAATTAAAACGTCTGGACAAACTTAACCTTGCCTGTTTGTGTACCTTAAACTTCTTTACAGGCAAACCCTGTCCTGGACCCGATTGAGTGATTTAATGTGAATGTCATCATGTCTGTTAAACCATAATGCAGATTGGTTAAAAGTTTGAACTCTTTCTTGTAAGTGTTTATTTACAGAAGAAAAACAACAAAAAGCAAGAAAAACTATCTTAGTAAGGATCTTGGACCATTGCCTGTAACAGGGTCATGCAAATTCTTCATTAGAGGTGGGAAAAATCTACAGGATTGGAGTCCTTCAGGTTTGGGTAAATCTTTAAATTCACTCTTGATGAAACTGCACACACCAACATTTTACAGTACTTTTTGTCTAAACTGATCTCCTTGTTTTGCTCTTACCAAAGATGTGTGTGTTTGTGTGTGTTTTCCTCATTTTGCCCCTCCCAGTGGTGTTGCTCACCCTTTCATACCTGCCGCCCTGCTCCCTCTGCCTCCCTTTAAAAGCAGGTTGAATACATTTAACCTCTCGCCTGACTATCTATCCACCCAAACTCATGCGGGACCAGCTCTCATCCTCCCCTTCATTATCCATTCTTTCCACTCCTCTTTTTTTTTTCTGTGCGGCTCCTCATCATCTCTTCCCCTCCCTCGCTTCCTTCGTCTGTCGGTCTGTCTGGCACCTCGAGCACTGCTAAGCCTTCAACCAGTGTCAAAACGTACGGAGCTGGAACAGTGGCTCCGCTGTGTTTAGGTGGTGGCATTCACACACACACACACACACACACACACACACTTGACGAGCAAATATGCACAAATACAGCCATCCCTGCTGTGCATACACACTTTATACACACATGAAAACAGGAGTTCAGGCTTGCCACACACACACACACACATATACACACACACACTGCATGTTTGTGTATAATAAACAGCAGAACATCAGTCACATGTGTTTGCATTATTGCATGCAGACAGATATGACACAAACCTTTTCCTTTCTGACTGTACACACACACACACACACACACACACATTCAGACACGTACGGTGATACTGTGAGTTATTGAGTCAGACAAGTCAAAGCCTTCCAAAGTTGGTGTGTGTGTGTGTGTGTGTGTGTGTGTGTGTAATAATCCATTGGTTCTGTTCTGTGCTGATTCCGGGCGCTAAGCCCTGCCACAATTATTCAAATCCAGGCTTTTAGTTGCAGCACACCTCTCTCCATGGGCCTATGAGCCGGTAATCTTGCCTTTGGCCCTGCATTTCAAATGGCCTTAACTCCCATAAGGAATGCATATGAAGAGGAGCCACTAGTGGCTTAATCCGCCCTGTTTAAGTTGCTGAAACGTACACCTGTCACGCCGTCTCGCGCCAGAGCTTGTGGCTACTGATAGCCGGGCTGTAAATCCAAAGGCATGTAGCTTTTTAGCCCTTCTTTAAAAATATTATCATGCTGTTTTGGAAGGAGGGGGGGAGTAGGGGAGTGTTGAGGCAGAGAAGTCCCCCTCCTGTCCCCACGCAGTTCCTTTTTTTCTCTCTATTTCTTGCACTTTCTTCTATCCATCTGTCTGACTCTTCAGTTTATCTGCATGTACATTTTTCCCACTGCCTGTCCTTTTTTCCTTCTTTATGGTTTTATATTTGAACAGACTTTGAGTTCTTTAAGATGACTGTCTACAAAAAGAGAAAACTCTTATTTTTCACACAAAGGGCCGATAGCTTCATTAATGAAGACGCAATTTAAACTTAGACTGAAGTGCATGTCGATTGAAGCTTTGTGTGTAATTCTTGTTCCAAAATCCTGATTTTATACATTTTCTCATCATTAGTGGCAGCGCTGATTTTTACTTTTACTGTCTCCTCACAATAAATCAATTTAACTCTATAAGATAAACCAATTAAAGTCTTTCAGTCTGTAGTAAGTGTGAACAGAGCATACATTTGTGTGGGATAATATAGGAGATACTTGGTTTGTTAATCACATATTTTACTTATGTACTCTTGCTTTTTTACTGACAAACATGGTCCAGCAAATATTAAACTTTTGTTTTAATGCACTTACTCAAACACAGTAGGCATGAACTGTATCGATGGGATTTATTTGAAAACAGCAGAAAGAAGAGACATCTGACAAAAACAGAAAAAAACTACACAGTATCCCAAAATAAATAAGACACAGGGTGGTACTCAACTAAAACCACGAGAAGAAACTATGACTAAGCCTACGTTACTCTTGAGTTTGCTGTGACTAGTGTTTGCATTGTGTCTGTAAGCACTGGTAGCTGACAGTGTAAGACTGAACATGACTCAATTTCATCCTCTGAACGGTGGCATAGTAGAAAAAAAGTTCGGGAAACACTGCTATAGCGTGTGCCTTTTTAACAGTGTCATGTTAGCCAAATCTCCAGGGCAGGTACAGGGCGGTGCTTTTTAGAACATAAAAAAATACAAAGATTAGCAATGACAAATGATGTTTTTTAGCATTACATTTTACACAATCCAAAAAATAAATAAAATCAACTAGTCCCACTAGTTATACCAACTTCAGCAAAATCACATGAAAGCAATACACAGTGGTGTATTTCTCCACACGCAACCTCAACCAAAAAGCCACTCATAGCCACAAATAATGCTCAAAACAGCACCTAACTTCATCAACAGTACATATAGGGTCCCAGTCATAGTACTAGCCACCAAACATCTTTTTAGCTTTGCCTCATTTCTTTGGCAAAGAGAACAAACATAACTCACCCACTCTCCTCCAGCAGCCACTTGTTTGTGGGGGGAGCCCTGACGAGTCGATCACCGAGTGCAGCGGAGTTCCGCAGCTCAAGGTAGAGGTTAAAAATGCTCATCTGCACTCATTCCCCGGCCAGCACTCATAACTATAATAACAGTCATAAACTGATATGCAAGATACACAAGAACTCTGATTGCATTTCCATGAAGTAATATTCATAAATATTCTTCCTTGAGCTGCGGAACTCCGCTGCACTCTGTGATTGACCTGTCAGGGCTCCCCTCACAAACAAGTGACTGCCAAAGGGAAATGATAAAGAAATTATCATAAATGTTCTTCCTTGAGCTGCGTCACCCTGCTGTAGTCCGTAATGGACTGGCACAAGGTCTCACTACAAACAAGCGGCTGCTGGAAGAGAGTGGGTGAGTTGTGTTTCGTCCCTTCCCAAAGAAACCAGGCAAAGCTAAAAAGATGTTTGATGGCTAATACTGCTTGCTGGGACCCTATATGTACTGTTGATGAAGTTAGGTGCTGTTCTCAGCTTTATTTGTGGCTATAAGTGGCTTGTTGGTTTCGGTTTGTGTGTGGAGAACTACGCCACAGTGTATCACTATCGTGCAGTCTTTGCTGCTGCTTAGCTTAATCTCTCGAGGGTGGTCTAACTCTGTGTTTTGGTGTGTTTGACCATGGTTTAAACTTACACCAGAACATTCCTTTAAAGGAAGTTCTTCTTTTCCACTGTTACTTGAAAAATGCTGTTAGGTGTTTCACTCATGTGGAAGAAGACTGGATTAGAGTGGGTGTGATCTTACAAGATGGGACTCAATCTGATCCTATCTTGATGTTTGGTCTTTGTAAATATGATGAAGAGTACAGTCAATACCAGTTTTTTATAAGCATGTTGAGATCAAATTTGAAGGAGCTATTCCTTCAAAGACATCAAAACTAAACCATGCCTGTGGCTACCACCTCTATGTTCCCCAAATGAGGCTGATTGGTTTGATCTTACTTCCTGTCTTCCTTAGACAAGTATACTGGCTTGATGCTATGCAGGATGGATCCACCTGAAGACAGACATGAAATCTGGCCTTTACATCTGTTTGCAAAGTAAGTAATTGAAACCAGTAATACACAGAAAAAAAAACAATGAATGAAAAATATCACTGTGTTACTCTGAAACTACTCCAGTCAAATTACATGGTTTATAGGGGCTAAAAACAGACTGTCCTCTTCTCATATTACAGCAGTATTACAATTAAAACGGAGCAGGAAACTCACTGCTTGGCTCTTTCACACACACACACATACACCATCTTGCACATTGTGTGTGTGTGTGTGTGTGTGTGTGTGTGTGTGTGTGGTAGGGACAGTGATCAGCTCAGGACAGCTGCACAGCAGCCTCAGGTAAGACAGAAACTCCCATCCTCTTACACAAGGGACCGGCATGTACTCGACATCTGTCGACACAAACACACACACACACACAGACACACACACAGAAACACAGACATCCACACACAAACACAGTCTTTGAACTTTTTTTCTTTTTTTCTTGGCTAACAACACGCTTTTGTTTGAGCCGGCCACAATATGCTTCAAGAAGACAATTTTGCAACTTGGTACAAAACTCCCAAACTCTCACAAGCGCTGATCAGAGCATGTGGTGCCCAGAGAAAGGGGAGTTCTCACACACACACTCAGCCTCCCAGCGCTCTTCAGCTGGCATGAGTAAAGGCCCGGCGGCTGCTGCTGCCAGGCTGTCTGGGCCTGGACTTTTACCCAGAAGAGGGGCACTGCCAGCGGGGCCGATGCTATACTCGTGAACCAGGCCTGGAATACGGCCTTTAGAGGTTTAGTCCCGCCGGTGTGTGTGAGTGTGTGCATGCATGCGTGTGTGTTTAATGCTGCTGTATGTGTTGGCAGTAATGTGTTGGCCATCTGGTAAGCTTGCCCCGTAGGACCACACATAGCAGTACAGTAGCTTTACATCTGCCACAGCTATTTAAAGGCCCACACACTCACATAGAGTGTGACCACAGCAGGCACCCATATAGGTATCAGGCTAACAGACTCAGCCATACATCCAGAAACATCCACAGACACATGCAGACAGAGGGAAACTTGTGGCATGAAGACGCACACGTTTCACACTCAGACAGAGGTGTCTAAATCGACAGTCTTACACACACAGACACATGCAGACAGACTGTGACGCTCTCACCTCTAACTCCCCTGCATCCTGTTCACTTCTTTGTCCATGCTCTTATGTAATTTATGAAAATGTGATGTGCTGTTTGCGCTGCTATGTGATCCATGGACACCTAATGTTCTCAGCCACCTGCTCGCTGTTTGGAGTCGGGGTCTTAACGCAACGGCGTGGGCGACACCGGACAGACCGGGAGCAGAACAGCCAGTGACTCATCAGGCTTGAGAAAAGCTGATCCAGAGAAATGATTTCTGTGAGGTCAATCAGTCTGATAAACATTAGGCTTGTGTGATTTCTGTCTTTGGTGTCGACAACCCTTCTTTTGTTCCACTTCATGCCTTTGTGCTTCTGTATTTTCCCTTCTCTTTGTTGCTTTAAAGTGATGCTTTAGAGTTTGTTTTGGGGGGGTTGGCAGCCGATGCAGTGTTTTGTGTACTGTAAGAGATGGTTTGGCACTAGACAACAGGGTGGAAGGTTGTATAACTATTGTGGCTTTTGGCTGACTCCTTTCCTTTCATGTTTTTAGCACCGCATTGTTCTCCCATGCTGCACTTGTTCTTTACCAGGCTATTTGCAGTCATGGATGCTCACAGATGGTTACTTGTGATCTTTTAGACTTAAACAATGTCTGCTTCCCTGGATGGAGGGCATCTAACCCATGAGGGGAATACCATTCAGCGAGAATTCCTTTTTCTATTTCTGTAATCCTGGACATCCGCTGTGTTTTTCAACTTTAAAAAATAAAAGAAAAACAGTCAAGCGAAGGTTGAGTTGAGACAAAAGGATTTAAATACCGTCTTCTCACAAAGGTTGAAATGTTGACCTCAGGATTATATTAAAATCTTTTTTTTTTCTTGATACTAACTTTCTACTCCTGTTCGCTGCAGTTTATCCTAGAGTATCAAATTTAAATATTTCTGTCCTTATATTGACATAGAAAGCAACAACTCCACTGCTATTATATTTAAATATAATGTCCAAAGCTGAATGATATTTTTCTGGGCATATATGGTTTGTTTCCATCAAGCAGACCAGTTTGGTTCAGTACAGATTGGTACAGAGACGGTACGCCCTGATCCAGATCCCCACACCTCACATCTTTCCACGGCCTATTTTTACCCAGCACTTATCGGCTTTCATTCAGACTGCTTGTCTCACCGGCTGGAAATCTCGCTTGCCTTGTTTTTGTGCAATCTCAGATGTAAAATATAGAACAATAACAAGTTCAGGTGATGTACTGATTCTCGATTGGCTATTTTTATGTCACAAGCATTAAAATATAGCATGAAACCCTCCTCGGTAGCTTTTTACCCTTATCTTCACATAATGTTTTTACTTTAAAGATGTGTCCAGGACAGTAAACTGGTAAAGAAGGTGACTTTCACAGCTCTTTATTTGGGCTTAAAATGAACTTCAATTTAAAAGTTATAAATCCTGTTGGCTGCAGGTAAACTTTGTTACGAGACAACATAAGGCCATAAGAAATACAGTGTTTCTTGTCACGCAATCCACCTTCCCTTAGATCCATCACTTTGGCCCTCTCACTGCTCAGCTGATGTCTATGTTGGGTGCACCAGTTTTAGATAGTTTCTTGATTAGAACAATCCCTGGCACATGTATAACACCCAACACAACAAATACTGTACATATACAAACAGTCATAAGACTAATGATTTTACTGATTAAATAATATCAGCATAGAAAAGATATAATGTGATCTCTCCTACCTTTATCAGTTAACTATTGATACTGGAAACAAATGATTGCATACCTTGCTTAACAGTGCTGTCTCAGAGCCTATGGACGTACAAAGATTGCGTAGCTCACCTGGAGGATACGCTGTTTGAGCGGAGTGTCATCACGGCGACTCTCCTGCTGAATGCAAAGTGGTTAAGCGCAAGTGGTCAAGTACGAACAATTCTACTGCGTAATGTTGGTTTCAGGAAGTGGAGAAAAATGGTGGAAATACTGAGATCTTCTGGGCTTCGAATTTGTTTACTGGCGGAAAGCGGAAACAAGTTGTCCATAGTATATACAGTCTATGGTTGAAACGCAGCAAAAGTTAAAACTCCTGTGAGGAACTTTTGGTTTTGATTCGATGCCCCATGTGAACAAAGGATTACCTCTTATCTATGTTGATTTGGCTAGTGTGTAATTATGTAGGGATATAAGAAAAAAACTCATCTTACCCAGTATTCCTGAAGCAGTTAGATGCTTCACTTTTGAAGAGTTTTTGCCATTAAATCTGTTTAAAAAAAGAGAGAGAGAAAGAAAAAGGCTGCACACTATCAAAGACATTGTTTGGAGGCTGCAGTCTGGCCCAGGGTTGATTTCAACCTATGGCCCTCTGCTTTGTGTCACTTGCTCCGTCCTTCCTGACCAAAGGCAAAAATGGACAAAGATATATATTTATATATTAACACCTTCGATCTCTTGAGTAAAAAGTTCCTTAAGTTCACACCCAAGATGCATCAACATTTTACAGGCAAATGAGAAACCTGGTATACCATGAACCGAGAAATACGTGTCTTGTCTTATTTCGTTTGTTATTGAAAAAAAGTGGCATAAAGGTTATTTTTTTCCTGCAAGTTCTTTCTAAGTTTCACAAGTTTCAACTCTAAAACATTTAAAAAACAAAAGTTTTGTTGAAAAGAGTTGTTGAATTGTAATTGAGCACTCATAATTGTGGGTTTTAAATAGTTTTTATACATTCCGAAACATTTGTTTAACTTGTTTTTGCAGACTTTGGAAAGTGAAAATTTACTTTTGCAAAGCACTTTTGCATAAAATGATTTCATTGACCTTTTTTGACAGGATAAACAAGGCTGAACAAAGTTAGAAATATGTTGTTAAAAAAATTCCCAACTGTTCTCAAATCATTAAGTCAGTTTGGGAGTTTCGTTTTCATATCTGGAAGAACCACATCTGGATTTTGTGACTTATTAACTGTATCAGTTTAAGCTTTCCATCATTTCAGTGCAGAATACTCCTGTCATATTGGTCAAAGACATTTCCACACACAGCCAAAGACAGTCAAGACGAACATGATATCCACATTTAAAACTCTAGTTTTACCTTTTGGAAGCTTTCAGTCAGAACCACAATCACATGATGATTGAGCTTCTGCTGACAGCACCTCCAAGTGGCTGCACACTCTGTCTCCAAAGATCAGATTTGATTAGAGGAGGTATTGGCGATGATCGGAGAATAATTCCCCAACTACAGGATTCAGTGAACAGAATGAAATGCTTTGTGCTCTCCTGATACAAATGAGAAAATGGTGAAAAGCCAAGGGCGTATCGATTTTCAGCTGTATCATATCCATACTCTTCTGTATTTTACATGCTCCACAGCAGTGAAGTGTCTGTGATTTTCATATGCACTGGACACTGGACACACTCCAGAAAGAAAGAGGGAGAGATGAAACATAAGTGGACTTGTCAGAATTCATGAATCATAAAAGTTTTGGGGAAAAGGCAGCAGGGTGGTCTCTATGTCAGTGATGTGTTTAGTGGATGTCGTGTTCAACATTCAATATATAAGGTGTTTAAATTACATCAGGGTTAAAGTCCAAGTGTCTCTACTTAGGAAAAAAAAAAAAAGAAAAAACACAAACTGAATTTGTGATCCTCAAAGGCAGCAGACCATATTGATTGATTAAGAGAAAAAAGTGGTCATTCAAAAACTTTCACTATGCCATCGGGAAGCCTGTTTGTTTGCAGAAGCAACAGACTTCTGTTCATTCACATGTAGTGTACTAATTAGTTGTTTAGCGTCAGTGGACTTTAATCATACAAAAATATGACCAAACCAAGAAGTTAGTTACTCTGGCAGTGCCAATTACATGCAGTTTGGACACACACAGACATTTTTATAAACTAGAGTTTACGGAAGAAAATGGCCCCTCAGTGCGCTGGCATAGAAAAGTGGAGATTGGGACAGATCCGAATCTACTTAGTACAGGTGTGTAAACTGTAAGCTAATGCCCACAAACATTTTGCTGTTACGAGACTTGGTAAGGACAGCACCTCTGGATCTTTGGGATTAAAATTATACAGGCAGTTCATGTGAGGCTGTAGTCTGTAATAATCTCTAACCAGAGTCCACTGTCTCACTGAACGCAGCAGTCTCACTTCCCAATGAAACCCCAATGCAAACGTTTACATCTGTCAAAGACTTGACGTGACAGTTGTTCTGAGCATCTGGTATTGCAGAAGAGGGCCCTGATTGGGTTTTTATATATGTGGGATTTACAGTGTTGTACTTTAAACTGGTTTGAAGAAAAAGTGAATAAGAGCAACACTAGGCAAAAAAATCCATTCATGCATTCTGGTTGATTTCTTAGTTTTCTGTGTTGCAATAAAAACATTCATCGTGGAGTAGATTTTAGGGTGCATCGTACAGCTTTGTGACCGAATATGCTAATGAACAAAACAGAACACCAGCCTTATTAATTCTAAAGTTATGGCGATGGTTGAATGACTGAAATTAGCAAAGACAATGGCAACGTGTGTTTTTGTTTGAGAAATTACCACCACCTTCTGCTTTCCTCTATCGGAGAGCCAGTAGGATTTGTGCATTTTAGTCCTCCCCCCACTGCACACACACACACACACACACACACACACACACACACACACACACACACACACACACACACAGCCCCTCACTTCTATGTCCATACTATTATCCATTTTTCACGTCCAATTGCTCTGTTATGGTAATCGTTGAAGGCTTGCCATGGGCTGATTACTCACAGCTGACTTCAGAAGCTTCTCCCTCTTCTCTCCCGCCGTTCTCCTGCTGGCTCTTAATGCACTATTAACCCATTCCTGCTTATTAATTCCTTCCCAGTCATTGTGAGGCGTCCACTCCATGATATCTGTCATCATTCCATGCCTATTAGCTCCTCGACCAACAGTTATTCCTAGCGTGCTGCCACACTTCTTCGTCCTCCCTCTGCCTCCCCCCTCTCCTAACAGTCTGTTTAAGGAAGTGTAATTGCTGCAGGGGGGGCCTCAGTAAGTAGGAATTTAAGATACTGCCACTATGAGGCCGAGATGCAATTGTATTCCTGTTGCTTTATTGTTATTTTGGTGCCTGTTTGATATTATAACAGTGCTTTTGTAATGAGGTTGTATACATTTTTTGATCGCTGCAGCTGTGATAATTTCTGCAGGATTATTATTGTTGTTTTATATGGTTCTGGACGGAGTAACAACTGTTTTCTTTAATCAATATGTGAAAGGCTTACTGTCTGAAAAGGGTCTGTGGACAAGCAGCATTACCTGCTCCGCTGTGGGTGTCACCTCACATGCTGTTGGAGGCAGGCCGCTCTGCTTTGCTGGAAGCACAGATGAACTCGTAAGGAGAGCCTATAATGCCTAGGTAGGTATTTTAGTTAGTCTTGCATCTTTGCACAGGCTCCTGTTTTGAGCAGTTGACATGTATTTTATAAGAAGATGACAACATAGTTTGTGATTTGAAACTTTGCGTACATCTCGTATGGAAACCAAACTTTGTAACTTTTGTTTTAAATGTGGAAAGGCATAAGACCTCCCCTTTCATGGTCATGTTTTCTTTCAGGGGTAATAGAGAGCAACCAATATTTGTTTAAGTCTGTTTTACAACCAGCTAAACCCCCATTTAAGAGCTTGAAATAAAAAGGGGTGAAAATACCGTAATGACCGGAATACAGTACAACTGTTTTCCTCTCCAAAAAAGTACATTTCAAAAAGTGGAGTTTCACTTTTTTCAAGGTCATAGTTTTTGATTGCTAATGTGTTTACAACACTGGATGGTGCCACTTCTTATCTAATATAGGGTTCTGGCATGGATGGCAGAGGTCAGCCATGGTCACAACTACAGTAACAAGGGGGATGGTTGATGGAGAGACACAGTGATAGTCCAGGACAGAGCAGGTCAAAAGTGATGCAGATTTATATACAAAGTACAACAGAGACACCAAACAAATGTTGTTACATTGAAATATGGTGGCACCTGCATCGTAGCTCAGTTTCCAAACTTGAAGACGGTTGAAGTTTTTTTTGTTTTTTTTTTACTTTTTTTAATTGAACATTCAGAAAGATATATAATGTTCAGGATATGCATTACTAGATACACTTGACAGTCTGTCCATCTTTACATGAAATTAACCATTGTTAAAGTGTTTTTTTAAAGTCCCTTCCTATAAATCTTAAATCTGTCCTGATTAGAGACAACTCCAACTACCTCTATACACATTACTTATACACAGGTCCAAATTAAATTACCTTACTGCATCTAAAGCTGTAAATACTTACACAAACCAAATTCTACACAGTTATCCCCAAAACATAATCCAAAACTGTACCAATACTGTATCTATTAAAGTCCAAAGCGTGCAGGTCCCAGAGGAAGGTGAGTCACCAAAAAAGAATCCAAGTAGAGTCTTCTTTATTATTGTTTATTATTTATTATTAGGAGGACTGCTGTTTCACTCCAAACTCATTTATGAACCTGAAATGACTGTGTAGGGAGGCCTTTTGTGTAGAAAACACATTTCTGTAACATTAGATTCTGATTGATCCAACGTGTCCTGAGCTTTGAGTCATTAATGTAGTGCTGTGTGTCATTTCTGCTGTGGTGGGATTGCTGTGGGTGTCTGATAAATAAAAATACTTGGAGCTAAACCACTATCAATCAGGATTTCGACCAACCCGTGACCTGGGTTCAGTATAGTTGCTCACATTATCATAAGCTTGCCAGCAGCAATGCAACCATCGGTTCAAGTGGCCCTTTTTCTTTTGAGGGTGCATCCTGGACTCATGTCTGTAAATGTTTGAGTTAGTCTCCATCTTTTTCTGTACGATTATTTTATACAGCAAACGTGATGCACTGCTCTTTGCATTTGTTTTGTACTCAAAAGAGCAGTTGCTGGAGAAGACGGAGTGTGCATGCGGGTAAAATAAATGTCAGCTACATGAATAAGCCTGTTACTTGTTTTTCCATTTAAATTTGAACATACCTTGTGATTATATTCCATTTTCACTAGTCTGTTCTGCTGGATGCCTCAAACTCTACACCTTCAGTGGTAAATGGTGGTATTCAAATGGTGGTTTTTAAATGTAAGACTCCTTTCAACGTGTTCCTGTTATCGGTATTTTCAGTTAGAATAATTTTCTAAATACAAACAAGATAAAGCTCTGAAAAATGTATATTCCCAAAAGTTATCTTAAGAAAGGTGGAGGTTGTATTGTATTCAGGTTCTTATTATAGTTGGAGCACTATAATTTATAGAAAGCAACCGTTTCTAAAAAGGTTGACATAACTTAAAAGTTTTAGTTTCTTTTGTGATGTTTGGCGTTTCAAATCTCTCTCTCTTTCTTTCTTTTTTTTTTCCTTTAAGGTCAGACTGTTTTGATAAACGCACCATTGGTAACCAAGGTTTTTAATAGTTTTGTTGAAGTCCACTGCTTTCTTTGGTGGACTGCTGCTGTCATAACTCTGTCTGTTTGGGCCTTCTGTTGGACAGAGTTCCATACGGAGTACTTTATGTTCCCCTGCTATAAATCCTAATGGAGCGCTCTTGGATAAAGAACAGGAATATTCCTCACAGTGGATCTTGGCAGCCTGCTTTGGAACCGCCGCTTGTGTCAGGGCCTGTGGTTTTGGACCGTCCCGAGACATATGGAGGAATGCTGGAATCACACAAAGCCCTTTAGCTGCCGGGCTCAACCGCACATGGTCTCAGGTTTCCTCAGGACCACATGAAAGTAGAGTGGTAGCACTAAGTGTGGTCTTTTTGATGGAACTCTCACTGATTTTCATACGGGCTGACTCCGCAGCCGTCAATCAATCAACAGCAGTATTTGTTCTGCATTTTTTCACGTACATGTTGGTCCCACAGCTAACTTGACCACGAGCGGCTCAAAAGTGCCAAAGAAATGAAGACCTAAATTATAAAGACAGCTGTTACTGCAAATGATCTAAGACAATCACTACAGACTGGTTAGCAACTCAGACCCAACGGGTGAGTTGGTATTATGAGATTCTGCAGAATACAAAATCCAATTGTGGCCAAAACCTTGAAAAAAAAAGTCATAGTCTGAGATATATCCTAGAAACGTTCAATGCAGCATTGTGGGGGACCGTGATGAGTTGATAAATGTAAAAACTGAGTGCACATGGTGAAGTTCTCTGATGCAAACTTTTGCTTGTGGTTGGATGTCAAGAGAACAGTGGCAGAAATATTTGGGAGGGGTTCAAACAGGGAACAGAGACAAAAATATCATGTGTGGGCCCTTTTGAACAGCCTCATGCTTTGCCTTCAAATACTGCTAAGTTCAGTTCACATAGACGGTTTTATATGAAAGCTACACTGTTAAATTAGATAACCAGAGATTAGAAACCAATACACCCATCTGTATGTGCTGATATGATTAAAGACAATGAAGAATGGTAGGACAATGAAAGTAGTGTGTTTAATAGGAGCTAGTTGAGAGGGACATAACACTGCCTTGTTCTGGGACTTTCAATCATTAAAAAGTTTTCATCAGCAAACAAGTCGTCTGTGGGGAATGGAGATGAGGTCTGTGGTGTATTCTCTATTTTGGAAACAGCAACTGAATGGATGATCTCAATATAAGGTCAATTTACAAGCTCTGCTGGAGCTTTTTACCATATTTTGACCATAAAAGATATGAGTCAACTCTCTGATACAAAGCAGGTTTATTGGTCTCAAAATAATGAAAAATAAACAAAGCCAGCCATTCAAATACTCCAACCTGCTCATGCACCTTCAATTTGAGGTACTGAAGACCCAGAGAGCCCAAGACTCTTTTTGGTAGGGTGGCCATACATCCTCTTTTAACTGGACATGTCCATCTGTCTTTGTCCGGGGAAGCTGAGTAAATCCTTCAAATGTCTGCGGTTCTGTACCCAAGTTTCGATTTTGTGTCACGTGGACTTATTGAGTTAGAAGCGCGTACAAGACACTCGATCATTCCCGAAAAACAACTTTATGCAACTCAGTGACTCTGCCCCTGCGTAGTCGTGTCCTCTTTTTTGGGAAGTGAGAATATGGTCACCCTACTTTTAGAAATGAGAAATGTCAACAGCCATGGTTTACTAAGACAACTTGTAGAATCTCATTGACGTTGGCATGGTTGAAATTCCTATATTAAGTCCTTCACTTTGAAATGTCATTTTTCTGTCCTTATGTGGTGTAATACTTTGTCAAATTAGGATACACTTGTCATCCTCTCTTTGAAACATTCTTCACGTAACACTGATGTGACAGATGTGAAAAGACTGGAAAAGAGAGTTTAAGGAGAGAGTTCAACTGCTTTTGTCTGTTCAAGAAAGACAAAAATTAAGACTCTCATCCTGGTCCTGACATCAGAAACTTGGAGAGGCCATTAGCCGTGTCTTTTCTCATAAACATACTGAAGCCTTCAAGGCCGTCTTTATAACATTCACTAATCATTACCTGTGCAATGCCATTCATCTCTTCATCGTTTGCCTAAGGTATGCTAAAGCTGTCACTTTCCATGGCTTCATGGTAAAGGACTGTGAAAGCAGCTCTCAGTAACAGACTTCAGAGTTTATACAGAGTAAAGTAGATCTGTGCTGTAATTGCTGTTAGTATTTAAGCCCCATTACAATGAGCCCCAGTCTGCTCTGACCCAGCTGAACACATCCATTGTCTCATCCCTCCCTCCACTAGTTCCCTTTTTAACTCTCCATCTTATTCAATCATAACCCTGACGATTTGGCATTCACACCAATTTGCTATTCACAACTCCGCTAATAACTCCGGCCTTTTATTGCATTAGCATTTTCACCGCTCCGCCGTGGAAGTCATAGCCTAGTTGTTCTCTCGCTAACGCGCTAGCCCCCCTTTGATTTCCAGTTGCATATATCAACCTGCAATTACAGGACCTGGTCTGGAAACTGTCAAGCATGACTGCAGAGGTATTGGAGTTATTGCAATTACACTCAGGTAATTGAGCTGCCATGCGTGAAGATGTTAAACGCTGTGTCTATAGTGGGAGTCCGTGTTGCCACTGTCTCATTCCATTTCACTCCTTTTCCCAATGCAAACGCACACTGTGAGGTGTTTCTTTTTCTCATTTAGACCAGGAACCGAAGTGCAAAGCAGAGATGGTGTTTATTTTACTCTTCAACAACGCAGAATAAAATGCCACTTTGTTCTTAAATTAGCTTCGGCAGCAGATAGTCAAATCATGCTGCTGACAGATGTATTTGTTTTTATGATTTACTTACTTAGAAAGACATTTTCAGGAATGACTGGAAATTTAGCTCGTTTATATGTAGATATATGGTCTCTAATTAAACATAAACCCTGATACACGTTTGACGTGATGCATTTGAAATTTGAAGGAAAAGCTTTATTGTTTAAGATACGTGTCCATCAGGAAAAGAGTTTTCAGATACTGAATTATCCATGCATATCACATTTAAACTTTCATTTTATTGCCTCATGCTTTCATTTTATACATTAATGCATGATTTTCATTTTTTTTTTCTTCAGTAAAACCAGCTCTGGGTAATTGATGGTTCATTAGATGTGAAATTGTCGTTTAAAGTGTCATTTAAAACGGGGGTATTGTGCTTGTTTTTAGGCTCTATAGTCTCTAGTATGTTTTTAGTGATTTTACATGATTTACAGCTTTAAAAAATGTGTCTTATTTCTTATTGGTGTCTTTGCAAATCCGTATTTCAGTCCTTATCTGCAAAGCTCCGTTTCTCTTTTTTCCTGGTCACAAAGACAGAAGGTTCTTGATTTCCTCCGTTCATTCATAAACTGTCACTGTGAAGATCTGACTACCTTTTAATTTCACTTTTATTTCATTTATTTATTTCTGTCAGGTAAGCCCCATTGAGAACCAGTCAGCAACAAGTTTTACCATCAAATCTGTCATGTTCACTAGACTTAAAAAATCAAATTCAAACGTTAGTTGAAACATTTAGCTACTGACAGAACTTTTTACCAATAATTCAAAGACATTCAGGTTATCTTAGTTTTGCAGTTTCAAATTAGTCTGTGGATAATTCCAGGCAAAACATGCAGAATATCTAAAAGTTTTATTTCCCAACTCAGTGCAAACTTTGGAGACAACAAAATCAACAGTAAATACCATCGAGAAAAAGGTACTCTATCTACAGAACAGCTTTACCGGCTAGAAATGTTGGCATACCAATGAGTAACTGGCATGAGTTTCAAATAGACCATTTGACAGTGGAATATTAAGTGCAATGATAAGTAAGACAGCCAGAGTTTATGAAAAATCTTACTGCACTGTCTGGGCTGTCAAGACTTTGAGCATTTTTGTACAACACACCTAATCAAGGATGGATAAAAAGTTTGACTCCACATTATTTCACTTTTTTTTCCACATCAGGACATGTTTCCATGGTTAATCAGAGTAAAACCTTCCTCTATTATGGTGCCTTTAAATCCAGATAACACCTGCAAAGAAGCCCAAGGCAGCATTGGAGGAGCTATTTGCAGCTGAGGACCACCAGCTGCAAAGGACAGTCCAACATCTGCAGACCAGTCAGTTCATGGGGGTCACAATAGAACGTGAGGTCCAGTTGTACAGAGGCCTTCCCCCTGTACCTATGTCAGCTAACCCAGCGCTCTGGTGTTGGTAGAAAAAAAGGACACGCTGCCCCTTTTACACATTCTTACCTCCAAATATTCGTGCCTTCAAGCATCCTCCACCGCATCTGAAAGGGTGTTTTCCACAGCTAGGGACACACTCAGCCTTGAGTGTGATCCAGGATCCTCCCACATAAAGCAGACATGCTTATCTTATGCACAAGAAATTTTAATTTTATACAGGATTTCTATTTATTTATATCTATCCAGAGATCTAGGATCCTGAGACTAGCTTTTTATTTATTTTGAGGTTTTATATTTTAAGAAAATGTGCATCAGTGTTGTATTCGAATTCAAGTTCATAGATTTGAGGCCTATAGAGCAGTTATCTTTAACTGAGAAAATTCCAACAAAAAAACTGCATTTTTGTGTATTGTAGCATGTTCTCCCAAACACTGAATGTTGAATGATTTTTTTTTTTTTTTATCAAACTGTTCATTATAGCCAGTAATAGAAGTCTGCTTGTCATTGGCTGTCACTGAAGGTGACATACATATTTTTCTGTTATCAGAGACTTAATAAAATTTGAGTTAACGGTGAAAACCTGTAGTCTACTTTTTTTAATTAAACAAAGAAAGACATTGATAAGGAAATCATTTTAGAATTGAAACAATAAGCAAAATCGATAATGGCATCGATATCGATAAAGTCTTATCAATTGCCATGCCTACTGTTTGGTTACACACTGGATCAGTTTTAGTGCCTAAAGTAGATACTCAATCCTGTTGTGTGACACTTTGCCCAGATAATGCTGTTTTGACTCTTCTTTCAGTTGTGCATGGGTTTACTTGTGATTACCTTTAGGAGAAGCTGTGGTTGATTTAGCTGACCTTAAACTGGATTAAATCCATGTTGAAGATTGCAGAAACAAAGAGCGGATGTATGTTAACAGTAAAGGCTCATTTATGCTCACTATATGTGTGAAAATGTACGTATCCGTTTCATGGTTCCGTCACTGCCCACAAATATCCATGCATCCTTTACGTTGGCATGGATGTTAGCCATTACATCCACCAGGGGGCAGGCCGGAGTCAAAGGTTTCTGACAACAAACGAAAAGAAACATGGCGACTGGAGGAGCTAGTGATAATGTATACTTTGCATAGGAGACAGAAACAGAGGCAGCATGGAGGAGGCAGTGGTCGGTCAGGCCACCAAATCCCTTACGGTTGGAGGACAGAGTCTTTTCTCTAGTAGTACTGGTGAGATGAATTGACGAAGATTCTCAAAAAGCCCCGCCAATGTCTTCTTCGTTTCTCTCCAGAGATGCGTATCGGGTAGTGACAACAGCAACACTGCCCCCATGGTTTCCAGTGGTACTACTCCATCTGGCCCATATCCGTAAACTTAAAGGACACATGTAGAAATACGGACGAAATGAACACCAAGCACGGATGGACAGCTTCATCTGTATCCAGATCCGTATGTAATGTTGCGCTTAAATGAGCCTTACTAGTGACAGTCTCATCAGTGTAGAAGTAAACAGCAGTGGCAATGATAATTTGTCCAAGACTGTTTATGTAAATAGGAGAGCTTGAATTTCTGGTCAGTGATTTCCAGGTCTCTACCAGGAATTCAAGTACTTTGGCTAAAACTGTTCGAGGGTTGGGCTGTAGCAGTTTTAAGTCCATGGGGTCCCATCCTTTATATGGAGGAATTACACAGACAGTTTTGAGTCCCTCCCATTTGCCTTTCCATGATATTAAAAATGGTTAAATGAAAGCAAAATCAAATTGCTCAGACAGAAGGTTAATGTTTAATGACTTGATACAATATGAACAGAAATTTAGCCGAATTCTTCCTCTTCTTTTTGGCTCTCCTCACACGAACCTTTAGCTTTTACTGTCCACATCCTCTCAATGAAGCCTCACAGTAAGATGAAAAGTTGCTTAGCTCAGTACTTTCCCCGTGAGGCTATCACTGCTGTAGAGTCCTCCTATCAGCTGGCTTCTATCTCTCCGCCTCTTTCTCTCTTTTTTTTCCTCCCTCTCTCCACGTCTCGGTCTCCAGCTCACTCCCTGCATGAACCCAGCCGTACCCCGTCTACGCATCTGTTTTTCTCCCTCTCTGTTTCTGCGTCTCTCCCCTCCCTGTCCTCCCGTGTCGTTCAGTCTGTCTATATACACTGACCCCGTCCTCATTACCGTCACAACACTGCAGCAGCTGGCTGCCTGAGTCACAGCCGCCATTGTCGATTCTTCACCCGTCCCTCTCTTGCTCTCATAACAAAGTGAGGAGGAGAGATAGAGAGAGATGGTTAGAGAGGAAACAGGTGGATGGGGAGGGAAGGTGAGAGTGGTGAAGAGGCAAAAGAGGAAAGTCAGATTCGCAGAAAATATCAAGGATCCTCTATTTATTTTATTTATTTAATTTTTTTCTGCAGACGCTGTTGAAAATGAACTTCGGTTGTAAGGTCCCTGTAAATATTTGGGTAATCTGTACAGTGTCACATCTGTAATGACTGGTTTTCTTAAAAATGACAACAAAACACATTATTTGGAATACCTTTTTGAATCAAGAGTAGCATTAGTGACAAAAACAGTTCTGAAGGGTAAGTTAGGAGCACTGATTTAGGTTTTGTCCAGTTGTTTCAGTCTTAGATGCATTTGGGGATTGAGGTTAATTGTAGGGATAAGTGCATTTTTATTAAAATAAAATAAAGAATGGATAAAAAATACTTCACAACTAGTTTGTCTATATTATACTAGAGGGCAGAGGTGATTCTCTGTGTGGTTGCCAATGGTCATAAAGCAAAGGAAAGACCTTTGATGAAAAGTGTTAAGAAGATGATCAGATGAGAGATCTTCAGGCTGAACATACACAAATCCCATGCAGTTAGAATCCAGGCCTCACAAGAGAGTGGAGGATAATCTATTGAATTTGCTTTTTGGATATCTAGATAGAAAAAGAACAGAACTGCTAAACTTTAATGTTGTTGTTTGTCTACCCATCTCTCTTTTCCTCCATCTTTCTTTCTCCCTTCTCTAAACCTAGCTCAGTCTCGGCAGACGACTGTCTTTCACAAGTCTGGTTCTGTTTGAGGAAGTTTACTGTAACTCGGTGAATGCTGCAAAGTGTTTCACTCGTGGTTCGAGATGGGATGGGAGTGGGTCTGATCATACAAGATGAGGCTCAATTTTATTGGGTCTTTGTAAATATCATGAAGAGTACAGTCTAGACCAGCATTTTTGTTCAAGGGGCAGTAATATGCTTCCTCCGTACTAGATGTGAGCAAAGTTTCAAATCATGAGGTTAACGTATGTTGTCAAACATAATCCTAGAAAACAGATATAAACTGCTTAAAACGGGACCTTGCCAGAAAATGGGAGACTCCTTAAAATGATTGTGTCACCGCAATAGTCTCTCCTTACTAATTCATCTGCACTTTACAGGAGGCAAACAGCCTGCCACAGCACACGAGGTGTCAACGAGGCTTTTTTTGATCTGAAAAGCATGTAAAGCTATTAAATCAGGTATCATGAAGGGAAGTAAAGAGTCTAAAGAAAGTATAAAAATATCCCCTCTTTAAGCATCTTGAGTTAACATTTGTTGTAAATTGCCACAGTAGAATTAAAGATCTGCTGACTGATTGATAACCAGATGAGCTGGATCCTTGACTTTTTAACTAACAGGACTAAGAGACTGAAGGTGAACAGTGTCCTCTCTGACCTGAGGTGCTCCTCCTCATGAGTGTGTACTGTGTAATTGTCCATTCTTTGAACAAACATGAGTCAGATCAGACCATTATAAACTATAATTTTGTTACTGTCAGTCTACTTCGTGATAATAAGAGCAGCCCTGTCCGGTCATTAATGGGTTTGTTCACCGGTGTACTCTTACCTCCAGCTGAACATATCAAAAACAAAATATATGCTCACTGATTTTAGGACGACAACCCACATGAATCAAGTCACTCTGATTAAAGGTCAAATCACTGAGTGTCTGCAATCGTACACATACTCTGGGACCACCACTGGGGAGAACTTGAACTCCAAAAGTAATTGTAGTGCTTGTGCTAAAAGTGTCATCAGCATTGATATTTGTACTTGTACTTTCACAATAATGGGATCATACTAACCATGTTTTATTATGCCTTAATCAATTTCATTCCATCTATTTCTCTTGTATCACGGTCAGTCACACATTATTCAAGGAGGGGAAATCTTGAGAGTCACGGCCATGCAGCATCCCTGTGACCCAGACATGTACAGCAGGTAGACATGACAAATTTAGATACTGACTCCCACTCTGTATAAGGAAGATTTTTTTTTCATTTTTGTTTCAGTGAGCCAAAGAAAGAGATACAAGAAAAGATAAATAAGATATAGCAATCAAGTTGCACATGGCAGAATCACTAACTTATTACTAATACTTCAGTTTTGCTCTCTAGGTTTTCTGTTTATTTATCCAAGTGATAATTTAGTGTATCTGATTTACTGATTTTATTTTCTTTCCCTTAAGTGTTGATGGTGGAGCCAGAGTACTATTCACTATTTTTTAGTATGTTTTAATAGTTTGACATTCTGGTTGTTTTGTGTAGTTTGGTGTTACATTTTTTTTGTAAAAGGATGTCAAACTGGGCATTAGAAGCTCTAAAGTGGAGAGATCTTGGTGTAGAGCTGTTGCCCCCTTACATAAAAGGAGTCAGCTGAGGTGATTTAAGCATATGATGGATGGATGCCCCCATTGAAGCTGTAACAGGCACGTCCGACTGAAAGGAGATCTTAGGGTAGGCCCAAAACTTGCTGGAGGAATTACACATCCCACTCGGTCTAAGAACAGCATGGGATCACTGAAGAAGGGCTAGGAAGTGTTGCTGGAGAGAGGGAGGTCTGGGTTGACTTGCTTAGACTACTGCCCCAGTGACTCAAAGAAAATGGAGGGATGGATTGGTCTTGCCCAAGGACACTCCCTCAATTGGAGATAAGGAGTCAGTATCAAGCTCCCTACCATCGAGAGACTACTGACTGTACTACAACATCATAATTGCCCATTAGTCTGAAAAACAGAACACCCTGGACACTGGTAATCATACTGACCATTCATACGTCTGCATATATAAACAAATATAATGAGAAAAGTTGATTTCTTCAGTTTGCATCTTTTGAGAAGTTTGAGTATAGGCTGTGAAACAAATCTGTTTTTCAAGAGGTCATCAACTCAGCAGAGATGTGATTTTGATCAGTTGTGGCAGAGTCAGGGTCCCTTACATTTCACCAGTTTGAGAAAAAGGAAATTAAAAAAACTACTCTGTCTGCAAATTTTTGAACATTTTATGGTCATATGTGAACCCGATAAAAGATATTAGTCGCTTTGAAGAAATCAGAGTATACCTGAGGAGCTCTAATCCAAGCTTAATTATGGCACCAAAGCCAGATCCTGGCACACAGAGCTACTTTGCTTTGGAACAACCACAGTGTTCAGAGTGCAGGTTCCAGACGAGCAGAAGAACAATGTAGATGGTGGAAGATAGTGAGAGAGCAGAAGAGATAAACTAGGTAAGGCTACAGTGAGGGAGGGTGAGTAAGTGTCTATTTTCTTGTGTGTGTGTGAGAGAGAGAGAGCGAGTGGGGGTGAGGGAGGGATGCGGGAGAGAGAGAGAAAAGGGGGGGAGTGTGCGGGTCGAGCTCAGCCAATCCTGTGCATGGCACTCTCATCTGAATTAAGCTGTGCAAAACAGGCCCCAGGGCTTGGTTGCTAAGCAGTGAGATGGGCTCGCCGATTTCCACGGAGACCTCAGTGGCGAGAGCCTCTCTGATGGCCTGAACCAGACACCCCATAATAATGAGCAGCGCCACAGCAACAATAGAGACCCCAAATAACGGGGTGCACGCTGCTCATTTGCTGTAACGAGGGGAATTATGCATGTTACACCGGATAATTCTATTGTAGTACCTTACCCCATATCATGACTAAGAGTGACCTCCCAAATATGCCATATGGAGCATGTTATCTCACTGTTTAGGCTCTTTATTTTTCCACCAAAGAAGAATCCAGTGAAATGTTCCTTTATGTCAGGGCTGGGTAATCTACTCAGCAAGGGATACCAAGTTCAGTTCCTTTTCCTCTTTGTTTGTCTGCCTAGCTGAGGGGGGCGCATTTCTAGCTATTTTGTAATTTGTAGCCATAGAGACATGTTGGTAAACTTGGTAACCGTGGCAGCAGGGATTCTATTTGTTTCCCTGAGAGCTCTTGAGGTCCGCTCGTAAGGGCATTTTCCTGAGGTCTTGTTTTTTTCCTCCTCCTCTTCTTCTTCTTTCGAGGGGGGTACGGCTGGCGGAGGAATTGCGGGTGACCTTTCGGATTTTAGAGAGTGGAGAAAGCTAAACAAGCCAAAGTCTGTTAGTCTGTCAACAAACACTTAAAGGTCTCGGGAGAAGTTGGGAGCCTCCGGGGGCCAGGGAATGCTATTCATCTGGAGTGTAGGCAAGCACGGCCAAGGATGCTTCAACAGGGGCACGTAAACAAGGACAAATGCTTAGCCATTCTCGCAATAATCTGGTACCAATATGCAGACGCTGGTGGGGGCATTGTATGGGACTGCATGTTAAAGGTTAAGTGAAACATATGAATAATTATGTGCTGTCTCACTGATTCCCTTGTTTGTAGGTCCAGAAACATTCGCAAATGTTAGCGATGGCATTGTAGATGTAGATGCATTTGTAGATGTAACAGCAGAGACTTGCACTCTCTTTGTATGTGTCTGCACGAGTGTGTGTGTGTGTGTGTGTGTGTGTGTGTGTGTGTGTGTGTGTGTGTGTGTGTGTGTGTGTGTGTGTGTGTGTGTGTGTGCATGCATGCATGAGAGATGGGATGACTGACAGGGTTGCTGTGACATTTTTGGTGTGATTATAATAGTCTCTTTTTTCATCTGATTATTATAGATTTGGACAGTGCTGCCTGAAGGCAAACTAAAATGTCATAACTGAATCATAACTGGTGTTTTTGCATTACTGCATTTCCCTTTTTGTACCTGCTATTTCATCGAGGACTTATCCCTTATTTTGTTATTTTTTTACTGAAAATAACACGGGGCTGCCATGGATCATTTCACAGTTTCAAATTTATGAAATTTAAGGCCTTCAAATGTCTTTTGAGTATTGTTTTCACTAGTGAGAGGTGTTGAATTTTAGACAGAACTATGGTTGATATATGTCTGGATTTGGGATGGGTGTATCAATAATATAGT